GCTGCGGTTTATTTCCCCAGGGAGAGAGAATCTTAAAATCAACCTCGGAAATCTGATTTCAAACCTCGTGTGTCTCATTTCCAACCTCGTCCGTCTTATTTAAAGCCTCGCCGAAGGCATGGTCCCACAAGGCCCAGCCCAGCTGGCCGGCCCAGCCAGAGTTAAGGGCTGAAGGGCTTTTTTTTGCTTAAGGGACCATTCCACCCCATACCAAACCACCGCCGCCACTACCAAACATTGCCCACCATTCCCACCATGACCAGGACCCACCATTCCCACCATTGTCTACACCATTCCCGCCATTCCCACCACACCAAGTTTTCCCGCAACACCCACCACTACCCACCATCCCTAAAACTACCCACCATGCAGTTCTCCACCCTTCCCACCATTACCCTACCATGACCAACCATTCCCACCATTGCCCAACCTTACCCAGCGTCACCCACCATTCCCACCATTACGCACCCTCACCCACGACTACCCGCCATTACCCACCCTTGCATTACCCACCAGTACCCGCCCGGCCACCATGTCCACCATGACCTCGGCACCGTTCCCACCATTGCCCAACCTTGCTCACCAGCACCCACCGTTCCCCGCCAATACCAACCATTCCCCACCACTACCCCACTACCCATCACCATTCCCACCATTACTTACTCACAGTTCCACCATGACTCATTACCCACCATGACCCACCACTACGCGCCACTACCCACCACTACCCACCATTCCCATCATTGCCCACCATTACCCACCATTACCCACCAATACCCATCATTTCCACAATTTCCCCATCATTACCCATCATTACCCATCATGACCCACCCTTACCCACCATTCCCACCATTCCCACCATTCCCACCATTCCCACCATTCCCACCATTCCCACCATTCCCACCATTCCCACCATTCCCACCATTCCCACCATTCCCACCATTCCCACCATTCCCACCATTCCCACCATTCCCACCATTGCATACCATTCCCGCCATTGCCTGCCATTCCCGCCAGTCCCGCCATGACACCACTGCCCACCATTCCCACCAGGGCCCACCATTCCCACCAGCACCCACCATTTCCCACCATTACCCAACACCATTTCCCACCAATACCCACCATCCCACCCACCATTCGCCAGCCTTCCCACCATTACCCGCCATTACCCACCTGCATCGACCATTGCCACGATTACCCACCAGTCCACCATTCCCACCGATGCCAGCTCCTACCCACAATGCCCACCATCATCCGCCATCCTCAAAAATTTGTTCACCACACCGTTCTCCACAATTCCCGCCATTGCTCACCATTCCCGCCATTACCCACCACCTTCCACGATTCCCCCTTCCCACCATGACCCACCATTGCATCACTACCCACCATTAATTACCCACCATTGCCCACCATTACGCACCATTATTGTCTATGTACGATTTCCCACCACCGCAATCAAGCGCCGCTCCCAACATTGCCCACTATATGAAACACCATGTCCTACCATGACTCACCATTTACCCACCATTACCCACCACGACCCACCATCACCCACCTTTCCCACCATCCCACCATTCCCCAACATTCCACCACTACCGACATCACACCCACCATTCCCACCTTTCACACTATTGCCCAGGACTCCCCCTTACCCACCATTCCCCACCATTCCCACCACTGGCATTGCCCACCCACTACTCGCCCCTTACCCGCCTTAACCCGCCATTTGCAGCACGACCCACCATTCCCACCATGACCCACCCTTAAGCGCCCTTACCCACAATCACCAGTTCCCACCATTCCCACCATTGCATACCATTCCCGCCATTGCCTACCATTCCCGCCAGTCCCACCACCGAACACCATTCCCGCCAATACCCTCCATTGCCACCCACCACTTCTCACCATTTCCCGCCATTACCCACCTGCATTGACCATTGCCACGATTACCCACCATTCCACCATTCCTGCCAATACCAACTCTTACCCACAATGCCCGCCATCACCCACCATCCTGAAAAATGTATTCGCCACACCGTTCTCCACGATTCCCGCCATTGCTCATCGATGCTCACCATTCCCGCCATTACCCACCACCATCTGCCACCGTTGCCCACCATTCCCACGATTCCCCCTTCCCACCATGACCCACCATTACATCACTACTCACCGTTATTTGCCCACCATTACGCACCATTATTGAATACCTATACGGTACGATTTCCCGCCACCGCAATCAAGCGCCGCTCCCAACATTGCCCACTATATTAAACACCATGTCCTACCATGACTCACAACTTGCCTACCACTTACCCACGATTACCCACCATTACCCAACATGACCCACCAATTCCCATTATTACCCACTTAACAACAAGATAGGCAAGGTTGAAAGAAAGACATGTCAGCAAATCCGAGGTCTAAAAAGGACCCGAGGTTGAAAAACCTGATAGGAGCCCACGAACCCGAATGCAGAAAGCAGTCGCCTATAACGCAAATATAACGCAATATCAACGAAACGTCGGTGCGCGGGCGGAAGGGACGTTTTTTTCTCACACGGTTCAATCGGATCATTGTGCATGAAGTTCTTGCGTAGTCGAACCCACATCTAACCCACCCGCACCCCACCGACCCTCACCCCACCCACCCACATCCCACCCACCCACACCCACCCACCCACATTCACCCACCCACACCCACCCACCCACATCCCACCCACCCACATCCCACGCACCCACACCCCACCACGTGCCACCACCACCACCAAGTACCACCCTCAACTTGACGGATTCGGAACGCCGTGGGGACACGCGTCCTGTGGAGTTCCCCCTTTGGGGTTCCCCCTTAACAGCGCGCGTGACGCCACTCGCGGACGCTTGCGGACGCTTCGCAGACGCTTCGCGGACGCTTCGCGGACGCTTCGCGGACGCTTCGCGGACGCTTCGCGGACGCTTCGCGGACACAACGCAACGACGTTTGGTAACCTCCCAACCCCCAAACCCCGAACTTTAAAACGGGAACCCTTCTGCGGAGCATTCGGGAAAAGATTACGAGGCTGAAAATAAGACAACCCCTGTCAAAAACGTCCATGCTCTTGGCAAACATGCCCAAACCACTGTTCTTTACAATGGTTCTGCTTCTTTGCACATCGTACAGTACTGCGCGCAAAGATGTTGACGTTTCTGGAGCAAGACGCGCTGTCATGAGCGGGCATACCTTCGGCAAACATGCTCAAAACACCGGCATTTACACAGCGTTTTTGCCACTCCCGTTTCTCGAAAGACATGGCAAGCTTCGTTGGCACAGTTCTGATCCTTTTACCTCTTCCGAGAATTTCGACCCCCTTTAGCCCTCCCGGCCCCACCGATGCGGAAACAGTTAGTTCTCTCTGCATGGAAGCTTCTGACGCTCGTGAGTAGAAATTTGGAAGGTGTCGCGATGCGAGGCGAAACACAGTTGCAAGTCCTCTTGGACAATGGCAAGCAAGAGACTTGCACTGGGCTATGTGTTACCATTGTCCATGTCTGTATGATCTTGAGTTCTCAATCGCCAGGCACCTGAAGATTCCTCCCCCGCTGTGGCGCGATGTGTCAAGCAAACCAGCACCGCCGGCACAACAAGCAGCAAGACCGTTCGTCATGTTGCACATAGACATGTGTTGTTCTGCGGCGCAACCTCGCTTGCACAGGCCAGGACAGATGTAGCAGTGTGGCATCATGTTAGGGAACTTGCCGCGGTTCATGGCGCGAGCTGCTCTTCGCCGTTGCCGTGGGTTTGGCGGTCCGGCCGGATGTACAATCAACGAGCCACAAGTCCACGACTCGGCTCGGCGAGGATTTTCTTGTTGTTGTCTTCTTAGTGGTGAGTGACACTTGATTTGCCACTTGCAAGCCGTCCTTAACTAATGTTTGTTGCTTGGTTGGGGATGCCCATACAACATGTGCTGCTATTCACTTGTCGGTACCCATTTTCCAGCAGCAGGCATGAGTGCTTGATATCTGATCCATGGACAATGGCTGCTTGAGCGCATTCCAGAATGGATCAAGTTCTGTCATGAAATTCTGGTTGCTGTTGTGGAAGTTTGGTTGTTCGCCCATTGCACGCTCAATCTCCAATGAGCATATGTAAGTTCGCAATGGCCAGGAAGCATGCTCGTGCATATGGAATCTGCAGCAGGAAGCACACTGCCAAAGAGACGTGCGACTTTTATGGGTGTTGGCGGAATACCTCGTGCCCTAGTGTAAGCTTTCCTATGCTGAATCTTGCCAGGATGCGGCTATGGTAGCGTGCCTATTCACGCCCAAGCTTGACATTTCCAACGACCATTGCAGCTTGGCCAGGGCGCTTAACAAAGCCAAGTACAGGTCCACACCACCACCAGGCGATCCTTGTCGCCGCGGCAACTACGACCACAACCATGTCGGCAAAACTCAGCATGTCGTCCGTCAGACATCGTGTCATTATCTTTTGTGTGGTTCTGTGATCATGATTGCAATGTTTGACACTGCAAATCGACCCTCACCGCCAACAGCAAGCAGACTAAATCTGAAAACTCGGAACTGACCAACAGCGGATTAGATCTGAGAACTCGGAACTGACAGGTGAAGACAAAGAATTCTACGACAGCTCCTTTCTGTCAATTGTCCAAATTTCCACAACCTGCAAAGCCCTCTTCAGGCCTGGCCTTGTGCTGGAAGTTCTCGAGCATCGTTCTGCCCAGCTGAGCTGCTGTGTCATCGCGACAGTTCTTCCCTTCGTTTCTGCGATTCTCATACACATCCACATGCCACCAAACTGGGCACGTCAACAAAGTCAGGGTGCTTTCAGAATACTACCAAGACACCTCATGCAATCGGATTGCGTACAAGCTTGTGCCCAATCCTCACGAACTCATGGCATGAACGACCGACTTCACCTGTGGCCCTTTTTCGTTGTTGCGCTGCACTGATGAAGCTGAGGCAGTGTCATGGTACAGTCATGTTCTTACCACCGTCAGCAAGGTGCTGCAGGAAGTCACGCACGAGTTTCAGCTCTACGAAGCTGCTTTGTGCAGCAACGATGTGAAGGCACACGCAGGCACGAAGGCACACTCATCGTCCGTGTGTGCTCTTAAGTGATGCTCCCCGGCAGGCACTTGACAGTTTCTTTTTTGACAATCCATGCACTGTGCGCCTTGGCACGGCGGAGAATCTTTATGGCTATGAGGCGCGTGGAAGAGCATGGAAAAGCCACGACGTTGCAACACGAGCATGCCATAGAACAGCACGGCGATACACACATCCTTTTTGCATTCTTGCCTCGTCCTGTTGTTCCACTGCTGGAGGCCATTCGAGCCTTTCGGAAGCTCCGATCTCCACCTGGTGACCGCAGGATTCTGAAGTCGGTCATCACCACCTATGGATCCGACTTCGCGGATGCTCGGCCTTCAGAAGTCTTGAGGTGGCATCTGTCAGGGAGTCAGTTCAACCCACGACGTTCAAGAGAGAGGTCCTGTTTTTGAGAGAGGTGTTGAGGTGTCGCGTGTCTTGCCCAAGCGGTATGCCAAGGTCGCCAATGTTGAGTTTCAACGTGATGGCAGCTCCAAGGTTGGAAGGCAGTCGCAGACGTGGCTGCGTACCTTGGCTGACTGCGCCCACTGCCCACTGCGCAGTCTCTTTGTATAGTACTTCTATTCACTTCTATTCACTTCTATTCACTTCTATTCATTTCTATTCATTTCCATCATTTCTGTTCATTTCTATTCTGTGCCTTCTGCGATGTGAGGAACTCCTGCTGGGTGGAAAGTCGTCTCTGCGCATGTCTCGATGATGGAAGAATGACATCATGAGGTGCAGTCAAGTGGAAAACGAAAGGCAGATGAAGTGTATTTTCAGTATGCGATCTGGTGCTGGTTTCGGCGCCTGCTTCGTCGAGCTCGAGCGGTACAGTCTTCGTTCAGGATGGCAGCATTGTTGTGTGTACATGTCTGCGCAGCGAACTGGCGTCGTGTTCAAAAGCCCTCCGATCTGGTGGTGACTGCGACTGTAAAGTACTGTAGCAGAATGCATGACAAAGCCCGCAAACCCGTCATTTGCCTTGTGCAGTCGCTGGCGACATCTGGCGACCTTTGCTGGCCGCGTTTTTCACGTCTCCCTTTCTCAAAGACGGGTGTTGGCTCCAACGTGTCGAATCCACGAGTCGTGGTACGCACGACCAGCCATTCAAGTCGAAATGGTTCGACGATGCCTTCGGCGATTCGGCACGGATTGCACAAAAGGCCACAAACAACGCAACTGATGCCTAAGTGTATGCAACCCCGGTGGACAACTCGGCACGGGTGGTCAGCACTTGGTTAGCTCCGCTGAGGCCTTGGCGCCAGCCGGCTTGTGAAAGAAAGGCGCAGTGACACGCTGCGCCATTCTGAACCGTGTGACCCCAACGTCCGACGTACCCTGCCGTTTCACACGAAAACATGTCATGTTTTTGTTTCCGCTCTCAAATTCTTATCCACTGCAGCTGCAGTCTTATGTGACTTATGTGCTTGCAGGAGCATTTGCGCTCTGTATAGTCTTCAGTTGTTCTTCATACTTACCTAAGCCGCGCAAGCTTTGATAGTCCATGTCTGACTGGATGATACATGTATCAGTCACATATCCAAGCAACAGATGCAACTGGCTTGGCAGATGGATCTGGCAAAGCCTACACAGCCGCACACACAACTCTACTCAAACCAACACGCAATCGCACCAGTCTGTGCGATGCCGTGCTAGCAACTTGCCGCGTGCAGCATGGCGTCCTGGATCGCCTTTGCATGATTCCTCGTCAAGATCAAACAAGGCCTCCACTGGGCTGTGATGCCGGAATGTGCCGGAGATGTGGCTGCCACTTTGTTCAGAACACTGATCGCTTCCATCACACTCTGTTTCCAGGCCAGGCCATGGCTGAGGATCCTCTGGTAGCTGACCTGCATTAAAGAGGGAGGCTGCCAGATGGGTACCTGATGGGCACACGTAGGTGCGTGAGGATAGTTCTTCTCAAATGCCCGGCGGGGGTCAGAGCGTGCATAAGTTCGGGGGTTTGGACTTGCAACTTGCATGAGCGGTCCTGCTAATGATTGGATTTTCACTTTGGGGTTTCCAGTTGCCAAGGCCAATGCAGATGCAGCTATTGCCCAAGGCCACTGGGGGGTTGCTTTTGGGCTGCGTTCTGTGGAGACAGACTGCCAGCCCGGCCGCGCCTGAGGCATTGAAGCTGCCGCCAGAACTGGACACGGTGAAGGACCCGATCCTACAGGTGCTCCCACTGCCAACCTCGTCGACCCCGACGAGCCTCGAGTCGCTCGTCAAAGGACGAGCTCCAGTTCTTCCCGGCAGTCGATCCATGTGGCGCTGCCTTCCAATGTGAAACCGGGGGAAAAGTTTTTTGTTGTGGTGGATGATATACAGTATGAAGTCATCGCACCAGAAGGCTGCGTGTCTGGGGAGATGATTGCCATGGACATCATGCCAGATCTGCGTCCCTGGGAATCCATCGAAAAGCAGCGTCCGACGCCTGAGGTACCTGGGTGTCCTGATCTCGGGCATGCTGGAGGATTGTCTAAAGGAGACCTGGAGTACGAAGCCTCGGTGGTCGATTCTGTCGCTACTGATGCCAGCATCGTGCAAATCACGGTGCCAGACAATTGTCACCCTGGGGATACTTTCATCACAGTGGTCAATGGCTTAGAGTTTGAAATTCTGGTGCCAAAAGGAAGCAACACCGGAGATGTCATTACGATGGAGGTACCTTCAAAACGTGCCATTGGAAAGTTTGCTTTGCCAGGAGCTTTGGCCAACGCACCATCCATTCTGGCTAGTCAGAGTTCCAGTGACACAGGCATTTTTGTAGAAGTCTCAGTTCCTGAAAATGTCCTCCCTGGCCAAACGTTTGTGGCTGCCATCGACAATATGGAGTTTGATGTCCCTGTACCAGCGACCCGGTGTGGAAACAGGTTTGAAGCACGTCATTCTGATGTCATCGTGATTTTTCACTCTTTCATGTTCAAAGATGTTTGAAGATGTTCTTCTAAGGATGGCTTTGGGCCGGGGGACCAGCTGACCCTACAAGTGCCTTCCCGCGGCTTCTTGAACCCGGTACCCTCTGTCTGGGGCTTTGAATTGCTCAAGTTTAGCTTATGTTGAGATCACTTCCTTATTTTTGTGTCAATTTATTTTCGGAATGTCCGAGGAGCTGCGGGAGATGCGCCAAGAGCTTCAACAAGTGCGTCAAGAGCTTCGAGCTCTCTGGCAAGGTCAAATCTCAGAGGAGGTGGCGCATCCTGGCCCAAGCTGGCAGGAGGTACGAACCGGATTTACTAGATTTGTCGCTTCTAATCATGAGCATTGCTACATCGTCTTTTCACCCGGAGCCCCCAACTTGAGGCAACATGTTCCCGACTCCGGCTACATCGAGATCTTGATACCGCCAGACTGCATCGCAGGACTTGGCATCGACAAGGGCAGGAAGCGTGTTTGACATGAGTGGGCTATGGGTGGGCTAGGGTACAGATGACGATCTTTGACATGCCTCATGCACCATACACGCAGTCTCTGGGCATAATGCCGTGCAGGAGACGTCTTTATCGTTGAAGTGGATGATGCCGAGTTCGAGGTGGCGCTTGGGCGGCAACAGATGCGAGCAACCGATGAGAGCAACAGATGACAGCGAGAAGTGAGCGAGAGAAGCAGAGTGTTAAGTGATCGGGCCGCACAAATACAGGCAGACCGATGCATAGATGTTTATCCTTTCCAATCCTTTCCTGCCTTCCTATTTGCATCTGTTCCAGATGTTTCCAGCACTGAGAGGTTGTCCCAGAAGACTGCACGCCCGGCGAGGTGATCTACATGGACGTGAGTCAGGCTGTCTACCCCGAAATGCATAGGCCGATAGGAATCACACAGCGGCTGCAATGAAGCACGTCAGAGTACGCAGGGCACAGGCTATTCGGCCAACGAGCTCAGTTGCGAGCAGAAGAGCGGATCCAGACCGGCATCCGCTGTCAAGAAAAAGATCCTTCAGGCCAAGCGGCCAGTTGTGCAAGCTGCCAATCGCCCTGTTCAGCTCTTGGATTTACTCGCGTCTGACAGCCTGCAAAGGATCCTGGTAAAGCCGCCCAAGCCGCAGCTGCCTCCTCACAGAACAACTCTGGCAAGGTGTCCGTCTGAGTGTTTTTTGAAGGTTTTTGGTTCTTTGGGTGAATTTGCGTGGAAGACAGGTCCAGGAGAGCACCATTCCCAACGCCCTCCAGGCAGAGCTGTAGCTACGGTTGGATTAGGTGATTAGATTGGCTTCTGTGATGATCGCTTCTTGCTTGTGATGGCGGAGGACGTCTTGTAGCACTCTCGTATACGGGTCACTCGTCCGCAAATCCACGATCCCTTTCCTAAGTTGTTCTGGGCCCACCGGCCCATGGGCTTCTGCAGATGGCGATGGCCAACACATTGGTGGGCCGCGTGGTTCCGCGTGCAGCGAGCGGTGCGGCGCATCGACGACTTGTCAAGTCTGAAGATGAGCACCATCTCTCGCAGTCGCCCTTGGCAGCGCTTGGAAGAAGAGTGCGCCCCCATGTGCGTGTTCGTGCGTGTTCGTGCGTGTTCGTGCGTGCTCTCCGACGTTTTTGTTTTGGCAGCCTTGCGAGATGAAACAATGTTGCGGAACCTAAAAAATGCGATGGTGTGCGTCGTGGCCGTGTCTTCGCTCTAAAACAAAAAGCCTCCGACAAGAGGGTTCAACCTTGTTTTGCTTTGGTCCTGCAAGGGGACCGCTTTGGGTCGTAGCATCCCACGCACATTTCCTTGGACCCTCGTGTGATCGACGACTACTTCTCCATTGCCTGCCTTTTCCATTGCCTGCGGCCCAGAGCATGCCATCCTCAACATGCAGCCCAGCACTCCCACGCCTGCTCGGCACTGTTTGCCGCTGGCCCTGTCGACCTGTTCTGATTCCGGTCTGACTGGCTCTTCAGGGAGGTGTTGAACTTGACACAGGCAAAGCACTGGCGCTGAGGTGAATTCTTCGAGCTGTGAAGGGCCTTTTCGGTTGGAGAGGTCCAAGAGGTCGTCGTGGTAACATACTTCCTCGTTTGCCTCCACTCGTCCGCCAGCATATCTTTGACTTGGCAGGGTTTTTGCCAAGTTTGTTGGATCATGCGGGGCTTCAGAACCAAGTTGGTATTCCAAAGATGGCATGGTTTTTTGGGTAGCACACGGTGCTTGAGAATGCTCGTAACGATGGGCGTGGATCGTGATGAAAAGCTGTCAGAAGAAACGCCGGAAATGTGGGGGTGTTTGCTGCCATTTGCGCAGTGCACATGTTGCTAGCTGCTACCAGTTTCATTAGACAATCGAGCCGGACGCAAAGTGGAATGCGAGTCACCGTACAAGTCGCTTGGGACAAACAACACGCCATTCCAATCTTTCTAAAGATTGTTTCCAAACTTTCAGAGAGCCGTGAATGAAACCTTATGCTAGGCCATCGCCGTAAAAGTCCACGGTTTCTCGTTCCGTTGTTCGTAGCCAGCAAGTTCGAAATGACCTCGGGCCAGATTGCAAAGACCAGGTTGAAGCCAGCAGGATAATTACCGCTTGCCTGTCCACGCTGAGCTGATAGTCTGAGCATTTTGATGCAGCGTCGATGTGAATCTGCCAGAAAAATGCAGCATGAAGCGTCTGTTGTATATATAAACAGAAATGTGTACATATGTACATTCTACTTGTGTCTGTGTCTACATCTACTGTATTGATATCTACATCAGTATCTACCTCGATGTCTACATCTACATCTATGTGTCTGTGTATATATATATATACAAATATATTTTTTGTATATGTATCTTGATTTTTTGTTCCATCCGCAAATCCTGCGCTCGCAGCCAGGCTTTCGCAGAAGAGAGCTCTCGGGCGCTGAACGGGGTGAGTTCCAGGCATGCGGCAGCAAAGCAGGGATGTTGCAATACATTTGCAGAGCCGCGCGGTCTTCTTCAGAGCCGCAGTTCTTTTTTTGGATCGTACGTTGAAGGAATGTCCCGTGATCGGTAGTTTCCACTGTGGCAGGGTGTCAGATTCTTTAATTTGATTTGACGTGCAAACTCTACCGCCGCAGTCTTTCTGTAAATGTTCAAATGTTCACATGAGGCACAGGAATGGATATCTCCGATAGGTTTCTGTAAACTCAACACCTTCAAAAACGAAGCTCTACGTGCCCAAAGTGACTTCCACATTTCTTCAAATCCGGAATGCTGGGATTGTTTTTGTGCATCTGTTCGAAGTTCAAGCCCCTGTCGATGATTGAGAGGCTGGACTTGTTGGAGACGCAGCAGCGTGTCATCAAGGCATCTGGAATGTCAGATTCCTTTGCCAGAGTTTTGGCATGTGGCGGGTCAAGTTTGGGGCTTCGGCGCTTCCAAGCTCCCATGTATTGCATGTGCCAATGTTGTGACAATTTCCCAGAACAGCAGTTGTTTCGTTGCGCCTGGCCCTTTGGGGGAGGCTGGGCTTGCCACTGCAAAGCGCTCCAACGAAGAGCTGAGCGCTATCTTGCGAAGGCGCGCGCTTCGAGAGTCTGCGAGCATGCAACACGAGGTTGTCTGCGGATAAGAGGGTGTGCAAGACATGTAGCGTTGAACATGAGGTGGAGCACATGCATGGACGAACGGACAGAGGGATACGTGAACTGAGATGGTAGATCATTGGTAGACACATACCGGACCTGTTGTTCCTTTCGAAATCTTCGTCAAGAAGTTCGTGAGCTTAGCGCTGCACGAACCTTGCTCACTGTATGGTCATACCGAAGCTGGTATGGCGATTCGGAGGCAGTTGGGCCAGTTCAACAAGCATGGTTGCGTCGCTTCCCAGAACGTCCCAGAACAGGGCTTGGTTTTCAGGCCGGATCCTTCCCTGCAAAATGGAGGCGTGCCGTTTCAGGTGTATGTTTCCTACAAGGAACTTCACCGCCCGCTTTCTGGCTCTTGGATTCTGAGACCCCAAAGCTCAGTTTACTGCCCACAGGCTAGAAGCATTGGAAGCTGAGCCCACCAAGAAGGCGAGGATAGCCATGGGTAGCTTGGGTTCGTGCTCAGGCGGGTGTTGTGAAGTCTTTGTTTGCGGGCGCAGGGAGCACAGTGTTGAGACAGGTTGAGGTACTGCTGTTCTGTAGCATGTGCCGGAACGGTCCCAGAAGCAACTGCCCACAAGAGCATCAGTTCTGGCAAGGGGGAAGAAGGCAGCTGAGCTGCATACGCAACTTCAGACGCCAGCAATGATGATGTCATCTCCAACATTCTCCAACAACAGCTACTGCCAGAATCCCCTTCAATTAACTGACAAGCGGCAGCTGAGACGAACCATCTCCAAGACGAAATGTAGATCTCAAGAACTGCTTCAAGCCATGCAACTATCTGCACATACTTTTTTTGTGCCGTGTACAAGCCCCGAGCCTCCTGAAAACAGCACTGCGCCTGCTCGCATGCACCGAACTGGGAACCCTCGCAGGTCGAAGCGGCTGAGCCATCGCGCAACCAGGGCAGCCTCAGCCAGGACAGCTTCAAACGTTCTTGTGGAGGAGTGGTTTCTATTTCCGAATTGCCGACCTTGAATCGGGGTAGCCGGGAGCTCGACACAGTAGTCGTCTCGTGTACCGGAAGTGTGGGTCTCACGTAGGTTCAACGACTCTTGCTTGTTTCGGTGTTAGGAAGCATGTGCCTTTCCTAGGGCAAAGGGCAGAGCTAATCAGAGTTGATAAGTGCTGCTTTCCAATCCCAAAAAGAGATAAAAAGACTTGCGAAGTGTCGAAACAATGTGGTCAGAGGAGCTCTCGGAGATCCGCATGCTCCTGGACCTTCAGCGCAGGGTGCGGCTTCCAAGAGCTGGGGGCTGGAGCGGGGGAGGGGAGGGGGCACGATGTTGTGGGCGATTGTCTCTGCGATTTCTGAGCACAACACTTTTCAGAGAGAGAGAGAGAGAGAGTCCCCCCTTCCCGCGGAAGATTTCGGTGTTTCCGCCCACAAGTCTTGATGGCACCCACTCGGAGCTGAGCTCTGGGGCAGCTTACAGGCGATTGGGGGGGGGCGTTTCACGGGAGCTCACCGCCGCGTCGCGCACAGGCGTGCGGCTCTGTCGATGGGTGGAGCTGCGGGGTCCGACTCTGCAAACTTTCTGCTCTTGCCGTTCTGACGCAATGCCCCCGAGTCATGGTTTCTGCAGGACCAGTCCTGCAGAGGTGTGAGGAAACATGATGGGGGGGGATTGTTCGTGCGGTGGGAGGTGTGGTAGGGGCGGGGCATGATGGTGCTTACATATGAAGCTTTCGAAGAACAGATGCTGAAGCCGCGAGATTACACTTTTCAATGCCCGGTGGATCCTCACACTATTCTCTATCGACTTCCTGCCGGCCCACCTCGGCAGAGGCTCCAAAACCCCGCGAAGGGGGGGGGGGGTGGGGGGACTGGGTTGGGCGGGTGGGTCAAGCCCAAGCTCTTCAATCCCTCACCCCAAACCCCCTAAACCCTTAAACCTTAAGCCCTCCCCAACCCTAACCCCAAACCCTAAACCCTAAACCCGAGAGCCGAAACCCTTAAACCTTAAGCCCTCCCTGACCCCAAAAGCCTAAACCCTAATAGACCCTAAACCCCAAACCCCCTAAACCCAAAACCCTGAACCCAAAATCCTCAACCCAAAACCCAAAACCCTAAACCCTAATCCCTAAACCCTAAACCCTAAATTCTTAAACCCCAAGCCCTCCCTAACCCCAAACCCTAAACCCCTAACCCTAAACCTTTAAACCCCAAGCCCCAAACCTTTCGGACAGAGTTTTTTTGGAGTCGTGGTGCTGCATCGCTGTGCTTTGGCGGCTTCCACAGAGGGTTTGCATTTTTTTTTTGAGGGCCTTAGCTTGAGTGTACTATTATCCTGGTTTTGCAACCCCTCTGGAGCCCAGCCCGAGCTTGAACCCTGACCCCTCCCTCTTTGCTTGAGCTTTCAGCGATCGACTGAGCCCTGAGCTTTCAGTCTGCAGACTGATTTCTCGGCTTTCAGTGACTCCTGAGCCCAGGGCCTTCACTTCTTGAGAACTCGATCGGCCACATCAGACCACATCTGGCGAAGCAGCCGGATCCCAGCATCCTGCTGGGAGGAGCTGGCCTGGCTGCCCTCAGAGGGCTCCGATCGGGGAACCTTGGGGTTCGTCTCATCCCGAGGCACCAGGCTCACATTGGGGGGAGGCCCCTGTGGCTCTGCTGGCTTCCGGTCGTCCCTGTTGCGACGGTGGGGCTCTTGCGAGGCCTCGGAGCGGCTGGGCAGATTTTCCACTGCCCGTCAGCAACACGAGCTGCCTGGTCGCGGGGGATGTCATGCTTGCTGCAGAGGTGTTGCTTGAATGCCCAGGGCGAGCTCAGCCACTTCTTGCATCCACTTTTGCCCCATAGGGGGCAAAAAAGCCCATCGAAGCTGGCCCTCTGGGCGGGCTGGATCTCCGACGGGATGTGGGTGATCAGGTGTTCGCTGCCACTCTCATCATCTTTACCACCCTCCCCGGCCTTCTGCTTCTGCAGATCTTCCTTGGCAGCCTCGAGCTTCTTTTCAAGCAAAGCCTGCTTCTCCTTGTCCTCTTCCTCCTGCTCGCTGGCAACGGAGCAGGCCCTGTCTGGGAGGTCTACTCCTCGTTGGCTCCGCCTGCTCGTGTCTTCACTGTCTACAGATGTCTCCCGGACAGGGATCGGCTCCTCCGTGTGCCGACCACCCCTCTCCCTTTCCCTCTGAGGGATAGGAGAGAAGGGGCTCCTGCTGGGAGGGGGCGCGGGCGACAAGTGATACAGACTCCGACAATATCGCGATTTCACCGCCCGCCCCAACTTCACGTGAGACAAGCACGGCAAAGCAGTGGCGCACCCACGACAACGGGAGACAGACAAATTTCGCAAGCGCCGGCATTCAGTACCCACACCAACTCCAGGTATGTGATTTGCCATTGGCGAAGCTGGATTCGATCCTCATCCAAGTGAAAGGAGACACCCAGCGTTCACAACCACCCCAACCCCACAAGAAAGGCGAGAAGGGGAGGCAAGGAGACACAATCTCCGGAAACCCTGGCATTCACCATCCGCACCAACCTCATGCCGAAGACCCCCCACATGAAGGGAGAGGGAGACAAGGAGACAAATTCCGACAGCCCTAGCCTTCGGTTTTGAGTGACCAGAGTTTCCCATCAGGATTTCCATTTGGGACCTGTGAGAGGCCAGTTTTTTGGGCTTCTTTGTCTTTAGAGCTCTGGACGCCTGATGCTGAAGGGATCTGAAGGGTGCATGGTACTAAGGTCGGAAACATTGAGTTTCAGCGGTCAGCTCCAAGGTGGGACGGTCTCAAAGTGTCGGAGGTAACCCATTCTTTTGAGGTAGGTTGCCTTAGGTTGCAATCACTTCCGTTCTGTGCTCTCTGTGAGAGGCTTCCGGGTGGAAACTCTGCACATGTCTCGGTGATGGGAGCGTGCACTGCAAGCCACTAGACGGTGCGAAGAAACCATGGTGCGAATGAAGTGCGTTGTTGACTTTGGCGTTGCTGATGGCTTATGCCAAGTACGGCCAGGAAGGCATACGAGGCATGCGCATTCGCTAATGCCATGTGCAATTACAAGCGACATCTGCCGACTTTTGCTGGCTGTATTTGCTCATCTGCGTGCTCAGCCGCGGACGGCTCCAACTTGTCGAATCCACGCGTGGCCATGTTCACATATCCTATGCACATTGATCCAAGTTGTTAGCCGGTGAAAAGCTCCAATATTAGGGTGACCATGATGAAGCTTCAAACGTTTGGAGCAGTGTCTGCATTCCTGGTGTAGGACAGTGTAGGAATTTTAGGCATGAGCTACGATACAGCAAACGGCGGAGCGTTCGATTGTCACAATGGCACAGAGTTTACGTAACATGGCGAGTGAACGCCTGGCAGGCGGGTGGGTAATAGGAACAGGTGAAGCTTGCGTTTGGCGTGTGTTTCTGAAGGCTGGCGAGCATCCAGTGGATCTGCGAGGAGGGCAGTGTCTGATGACAGGGCCGTGGGCCGTGAGCCGCAAGCCACCTCGGGTGTTTTTGATGTATGGCACAGGAGGCCCAGGCAGCAGCGAGCCATTGGCCTGGTCACCTGGATTAGCGTTTGCTATTGCCATTATTGCCTTCTTGGCTTCTCATCCTCCTCAACCTCCTCGACCGTGACCTTGACATCCTTCGCCATATGCAGAGGTCGGCGAGCATCGCTCTCGTCTTTACTTTTTTTGCCCCAGGCCCAGGCGAAGGCGGCTGAGACGGCTGAGGCGCAGAAAGCCTCGCCTTCCGCGCCGCTTGCCAAGCTCCCTCCAGGGAGTCGCGTTCTTGACTTGGGTGGCCTGCTGTCTGCATCCGTGGAGCAGGACCTCGAGAAAGCGATCGATTTGCTGGAGCGTGACACGCCGTATCGATTCCGGTTGGTGTGCCCGCCTCCAGGTTACGGCCCTCAAGACAAGGCCCTGTGGTCTGACTTTGTGAAGAGCGCGGGCCAATACTTTGCACAAGAAGCCCAGTGGGACCCTGCCAATGCGGTCGTACTACTGGTCTCTCCTCGGACTTCTGCTGGGCGCACAGCAAATCTTCTAAATTTCTCGGTTGCCACCAAGCTTACTCAACGGTTGCAGTACCGCATTGCATCTGATACATTCACAAAGATTTCCAACAAATATGGGGACAGTCAATTTGTGAGGCAGGCAGGCGAGGGAGAAGCTGCCGCACTGGCCGCAATGAACGCCATCGCGTGCCTTCGCAAGGGGGTCTGTATGCAGCCCCTGAGGGACGACGAGGCACGGGAGGTGGCCTTTGAAAGGAAAGCAGCGGTCAGCACCGCCGAGGCCTTGGCGGTTGCGGGCATGTGAAAGAAAAGGCGGTGTGACACGCTGCGCCACTGTAGCCCCCACGTACCTTGCTGTTTCACACATGTTGTTGTTTCCCCGCTGAATTCTTATCCGCTGCAGCTGCAGGCTTATGTGACTTATGTGCTTGTAGGAGCGTTGGCGCTCTGTATAGTCTTCAGATGTTTTTCATACTTACCTAGGCCGAGCTTTGCTAGTCCATGTCTGACTGGATGATACATGTATCAGTCACGTATCCAAGCAACAGATGCAACTGGCTTGGCGCATGGACCGGGCAAAGCCGACACAGTCCCACACACATAACTCTACTCAAAACCACACACAAGCGCACCAGTCTGTGCGATGCCGTGCTAGCATTTCCCTCGTGCAGCATGGCATCCTGGAGCACCTTTGCATGATTCTTCGTCAAGATCAACGAAGGCCTTCAATGGGCTGTGAAGATGCCGGAGTTCAGAACACTGATCGCTTCCATCACACTCTGTTTCCAGGCCATGGCTGAGGATCCTGTGGTGGCTGACCCGCATTAAAGAGAGAGGCTGCCAGATGGGTACCTGATGGGCACACGTAGGTGCGTGAGGATAGTTCTTCTCAAATGCCCGGGTGGGGTCAGAGCGTGCATAAGATCGCGGTCCTGCTTATGACTTGATTCTCGCTTTGGGGCTTCCCGTAGCCAAGGCCAATGCAGATGCAGCTATTGCCGAAGGCCACCCGGGGGGGTTGTGGGCTTCGTTCTGTGGAGAAAAACTTTTCCAGCCTCGAGGCATTGACGCTGCCGCCACGAGTGGACGCAGAAGCCCCGATCCTACCGGTGTTCCCATCACCAGCCTCGCCAGCTCCAGCTCTCCTTCAAAGCGGTCGAAGCCGGAGCCCGCGGAGAGTGCGGATGCAGAGCCTCTAGCGCGCGCAGAGCCTGTTTTGGAGCCTTCTGGGGAGCCTTCCGACGAAAGAGCTGAGAGGAGGCCCTCCCGAGCTTCCCGGACTTCCCGGACTTCCCGAACTTCCCGGACTTCCCGGACTCCATCCAGGACCAACTCTGTTTCGTCGCGGCAGTCGGTCCATGTCGCTGTGCCTCCCAATGTGAAGCCGGGGGAAAAGTTTTTTGTTGTGGTGGATGACATGGAGTATGAAGTGGTCGCACCAGAAGGCTCTATGCCTGGGGAGATGATTGCCATGGACATCCTGCCAGATCTACGTTCCTGGGAATCTCTGAGCACACCTCCTGCGATACGTGTGTGTCCTGATCCCGACGATGCTGCAGGATGGGCAGGGCTGGAAAGGCTGGAAAGTGGGTCCAAAGGAGACCAGTACGAGGCTTCGGTGGCAGAATCTGTCGCCACAGATGCGAGCATCGTGCAGATCACTGTGCCAGACGAGTGCAACGCTGGGGATACCTTCTTCGCCGCAGTCAACGGCTTGGAGTTTGAAATTCTGGTGCCCAAAGGAAGTAGCCCAGGGGATGTTATCACTTTGGAGGTGCCGTCGAAACATGCCATTGGAAAGTTTGCTTCGAATGGATCTGTGGCTGATGTGCCGTCCATTCTCGTACGAGATACCATGCCCAGTCAGAGCTCCAGCGAGACGGACCTTTTTGTAGAAGTCTCGGTGCCGGAAAATGTCGTCCCTGGCCAAACCTTCGTGGCTATCATCGACGACATGGAGTTTGACGTCCCTGTACCCGCGACCCACTGAGTTGAGACATTCAGATGCGCCACTCAGAGTTGTGAAGGGTTCGAAACTCGGAGAGCTAAGGAAGGTTACGGGCCCGGGGACCAGCTGACCCTGCAAGTGCCTTCTCGGAACTTCTTGAACCCGCTGCCATCGGCCTGGGCCCTTCTCTCTGCTCTCGTGCAAACTCTTTGTTTTCGTCTATGTGTTGCCCATGTTTTTTTTTCTGATTTTTCTCATGTCTTCTTATCTACATTCTTGGTGCTTTCCGAGGAGCTGCAGGAAATGCGCCAAGAGATTCAACAAGTGCGTCAAGAGCTCCAAGCAGTTCGGCAAAGCCAGATCTCACAGAGGCGGGCTGAAGAGGCGGCGCATCCAGGCTTAAGCTGGCAGTGGCAGATGTTTGCAAGGCCTGCCCATGGGGCAGCCATGGGGCACATGATTTGAGGCAACATGTGTCAAAATCCTCGCACGACTCGAGCTACATCGAGATCCTGATACCGCCAGATTGCTATGCAGGACGTTGCACATGGAGTGCTGCCGGGTGAAGCAAGAGTTTTCCAAATGTCTTCACAACATCGATATGGGGCCAGGAGATGTCTTCGTCGTTGAAGTGGATGACGCCGAGTTCGAGATGGCCACTCTGCAGCAATCTGGAGAGCAGAGGGTGAAGAGCGTGCTTTAAAGAGGCTTTTGGACCAAAGCGCACTTTTTGCGAAGCTCTGCCTCTGCCCGCCCCCCCCCCCCCCCCCCCCCCCCCCGCGTCGGCCGGCTTCCTGGATATTATTGATATTCTCACGTCTTCCTCCGATTCGCTCCCCTGTGTAGGGCTGCGTGTGTGCTGGTAAGGGTGTATTTGTATTCGTTTATGTCTAGGGTTTGGGAATTGTGAACCGCTAGCCCAAGCATATGTGTTGGGGCTCATTGCTTGCCAACACGATGTAAGATGGTTTCTGGGGGGGGGGGGGGTGGGGTAAAGCAGTTTTCGGAATCACTGCCTGAGCATTGTCCAGGGCCTCGGACCTCTCCTGCCTTCCTACTTGCATCTGCTGCTTTCACATGTGCACTGACAGGTTGTGCCAGAGGGCTGCATGCCTGGCGAGGTGATCTACATGGACATGCGCGAGGCACAGCCTGCACACAAAATAGGGGGGGGAGGAAAGTGCTTTTTGCTTTTTTTCTGGGGGAAAGAGCAGAGCGTGTTTTCCCAAATGCTTCCCTTTGCAAAATGCAGAGAATGCTTGCTTTTGCAAACTGCTTTATTTTTGCAGCAGGGCGCGGGGTACCCCGCCAGCGAGCTCAGCAGCGCGCAGAAGAGCGGCTCCAGGCCGGCCTCCGCTGTCAAAAAGAAGATCCTCCAGGAGACGAGCCAATGTTCGGCTTGTTCCAAAAGTCCAGGTCGTTTTTTGCGAGTTTTGAAACCGCTTGGGGGGACCGCGCTTTTGGAGGAGCTGGCAAAAGAGCAGCTTGCGCGTGAAGCCGCCGCTGCTCGCGACGCAGCAGCCGCGGCCGCTGCGGCTGCCGACATCGAGATTGTGATACCGCCGGACTGCCACCCAGGACGCAACATTCATCTGTGGTGTGCGCGTGCAATCTTCATTGACTCGCATCACTGGCCTCGCTACAATTTGTTGTTTGCAGTCGCAGGAGACATCTTCGTTGTTGAAGTGGATGGTGCCGAACTGGAAATGGCCCCTTGGCACGAGCAGGCAGGCAGAGTGAGAGGGAGGGAGAGGGAGAGAGAGATTGAGAGAGAGAAAGAGAGAGAGAGAGAGAGAGACTGCTAAGCCTGCAAAAAGCTTGCTAGGCTGCGAAGCCGTTAAGCTCAGGAGCTACGGTTCTACGTGTTAGTGTGGTGTTGTAAGCGCCTTGAACGGCAAGGCTTCGGGTTACGAGAACTGGCACCATTGCACAAGCAAGATAGTGCACAGATTGCGGGACAGATAGCACGGGCCAGAAAGCTAAGCAGATCTCCAGCAAGCCCCGCGGGTTTATGCCCTCAATCCAGTCGAGCTGAAACCCATGAAGACCGAACATGAGACACGCGTCCTGGTTTCGGATTGTGGTGGATGTGGCTGAAAGAGACAAAAGTGGACATGCCGTCACATCCGATTCCCCCGCTGGGCAGATACAGCTTGCGGAAGAAGCTTTGAAGGAATCCAGGAGAAAACGTATGAGACAGCGGTCTTGCCGCTTTGTCCGTCCTGGGGTGCAAGGCGGGAGATCAGCTGGGAAGGTGGAGTCGGAAGGCGCTGCCATCCCGTTGTTTGTAAGTGTAAGTTCGCCCCGTGTATCGTTGTCCCAGGCCCTTGCGTTTTGGATCCGGGCCTCCGTGTTTCATGAGTTGATCCCTGCGTTTTCCGATCCAGTTGTTCCGATCTGGCCCGCAGCCGATAGGTGATGGTGGAGCTGTTGGGAGGCAGGACACGTGTGCGAGCGCGGCCTCTCCGCTGCCTTGGTGAACTAGATGTTTCGAGTCGCACATGCCTGAAACGCGTGCGAGCGTGCATGCGCGCGCGCATGGGTGGGAGCCCGACCCCAGTGAGAAGAAGAAAGAATTCCATTAGAAAATTATCACAAAGAAGTGAGCACGTGAACTCAACTGTCAGAACACAGGAAAGCTTTTGAGGAATTCCGTGGCTCGCTCGCCTTGAGGCTCGCACGGGCGGCAGAGGAACAAGCCCCCGTAAGATCTTGGCATTGAACAAACAGAGTCAACAGAGTAGACTTCGAGACCCCCGACTTCGCTTGTGATCGAGGCAGTCCTCTGTTTGCGTATGCTGCTTCCAGCAAGGTTGTCCCAGAAGGCTGCGTGCCCGGCGAGGTGATTTATATGGATATGCGTGAGGCGGCTACAGCAAAATGCGGATCGCATCGCGGTGAAGTGCTTTAAAGTGCTTTGGTGTTCGCAGGGTGCAGGACACGAGCTCAGCAGCGAGCAGAAGAGCCGATCAAGACCGGCATCTGCTGTCAAGAAAAAGGTCCTACAGGCCAAGCGACAGCCAAGCAGGTTCCAACTGGTCTTTCCTTCACCAGCTCCTGCAGAGGATTCTGGCGAAACAGCCGCCTCAACCGCTGCAGCCGGCCCTGACAACAAGGAGGCGCCATGAACTCTTTTTGTGCTTGTTGAACTTTGCCTGGAGAGAGGTCCAGGAGAGTGCCATCCCGGATGCCCTGCAGGCAGGGCCGCTTTATGGGAGATCTTTCTTTTCCAACGGTACAGTGCGCGTCTTGACTGTGTAGCATGTTCGAGGGAAGGGCGCCCCTCATTTTCGAACTTCATTTGTGCTCTTTTTTTTTTTTTCTCTCTCTCTCTCTCTCTCTCTTGGCGTTATTCAGGCTCTCTGGGGCTGCAGTTCTCCTACTTTTTCTACCTTCGTTCTGTTTTTGTCGTTCGGTTGCATTGCAACTCGATACACGTGCATGCTTGCACGCGTAGCCATGGCTACGCCTCCCACCTGCCTTGCTCGTGTTGCTGTTTGCTCCACAGCGAGTTGAAAGCTCGTTGGTGCCCCATGTGGCACATTGTGCGATCAAGACTTTTGCTTCAACCGTCATTCTTCAAATCTTGCGCTAGAGTATCAGGTACCGGCCACAGTGGTCGCGGCTCATCCAAAGGATCTTTAAGATCCGTCAGTGACTAGGGCTTTTGTGTGCAAGAACCCGTTTCAGCAGCGCGCCTGAGCGCGCTTGGAAGTGGACGACCCTGGGAAGCTTGCAGAGTTCGGGCAAGGTGGCAAATAATGTTTTGCACTTAGTTCCTGGATTAAAACTTGGTGTCCGAGATGGTCCTGCCGCCGGGTTTTGCGAAGCGGCCTCACGCAAAGACCTCGAAAGCTTCGGCTTCAGCCGACGCCGCCTTTCTGCGTTTGATATGCCTTTGCCTCCAATCCTGCTCACCATAGCTCACTATTGCTGAAAACTCCAAAGGCTCCCATTCCCTGCCACAGCTGGCAGCAAAGTTGTCAGCTGCTCTCGTTCTTTGTCGCATGTGTCGCACTGCCTCCAAGCAAGTTGCTGATGACCACGAGTTGGGGAGGGGGGGGGGGCGGAATGTAGAAAGATGAAGGTCTCTTCCGCTGCTCAAAACAGTTTTGAATGCTTTGCTGGTTAGGTGCAGCGGTTGTCCAAAATAGCTTTCGTGATGTTTGGTTGATGGCTGCCCACCTGGAATGCCAAGCGGCACAGCCCATTCCTGTCTAAGGCTCCTGCCTTTCGACTCTGCTACAGGCATTTTACCATCATTTTACCCATCGGAATCCCAAACCACCAAAACCACCATGTACCCCGTACTACTCATCCTGGCATCTTGTACTCTCGGCCAGGCCTTCGCAGAAGAAAGCTCTCGGGCATTGGATGGGGTGACTTCCAGGCATGTGCGACAGAAACCGTCAGAGTCTGCAGGATGGGGATGCAGACAGCTTTTTGAGACTCTATGGTGGTCTCTTTACGTACTTAGAAGTGATGGATGAGCCCATTTTTGAAGGGCCCGTTCTGGGGAGCCTAGCGAAGCCGGTGATTGGGAGGCTGGAGTCCTTGGAGACGCAGCAACGTGCCAGCGAGGCGTACAGTCGTTGGCTCAAAGGTTTGTGCAGCTTTTCGGGGTGAGGTTTGTGCTTAGGCTTCGGATTTCCAGGGCCTTTGGCCTCGGTCGTGGGCTTCAGAAGAAGTTGCCAGTAAGCCCATGTGTGAGCCCCATCTGAGCCCTTTGTTCAGAGCTTCCATGTTTTCAGTCCCGCCTCTACCCCGACCGAGCCCTGCCGGAAGACACGTAGCGGACGTAGCGGTCTGGAAGATCAAGCCTCCTGTGTCGGACTTGCTTGGTAGGCTGGGCTTGCCACTGCAAAGCGCCTGAACGAAGAGCTGGAAAGCTCTATACTGCGAAGGTGCGCAAGCTTCTCTACGGTATAGAGACAAATGTAAGGAGATGTTAGGCCAAGTAACTGCCTACCAGACATATCCTGATGGCCAAGATGTTCTTCAGCTCAGCCCTACACTGGCCTTTTTGCCATGGTGTGTGAGGGAAAAATGCTTCGGGAGGAGGTCGTTTGGATCTGATTCGGGCTGCAGATGCGGTTTGGTTGCGCATGTTGCGTATGGTTGCGTATGGTGGCGTGTGGGGGCGTATGCTGGCGTACGGTTGTGTCACAGATAGCTTTTTCCCCTTTGCTGGCTCTTGGATGATGAGTCCTCCCGAAGCTTTATGGTTTGCTGCCCACAGGCTGGAAGCATTGGAAGCTGAGCCCAAGAAGGCGAGGACTGTCATGGGTAGCTTGGGGTAAGCATGCGCTTGGCTGGCCCCAGCAGCAACCGTCAGTGCTGGCGGGTAGGGAGAAGACAGCAGAGCTGCATACACAACTTCAGCAGAAATGCTGTCAACTAGCAGCAACGCTGCACCAACTTGGGAACCGTTGAAGGCCGAAGCTGCTGAGCCACCGCGCGAGCAGGAGAGCCTCAACCAGGACAGCTCCAAACGAGTTCTATTCAGTTTTTTGTTCAGGCTTCGGTAATTTCTTGTGACGGCCCTGCGGCACGTGTTGGGTTTGTAGAGAACTTGCCTTTGTGAAGAAGCGGCAGTCACTGAGAGTCTGAGAGTCGCGAAGCAGGGTTTGCTGGGTGCTTCAGTTTTGAAGGACAGGTCTCACGCAGTTTGCAGCTTCTCGTTTGGGCATGTCAAGTTTTGCAGGCTTGCAGGCTTGAGGAAAGGGCCCTTCCACTCTAGGATTGTAGGTTGCGTGGGCTAGGCATAGCTTCATGTTTTGCAATCTGAAGGTTTATGAAGTTTTCGGTCCTGTTGCAAACTTGCCTCGCCGACCCAGCTGATGTGGTACTGCACAGCTATGCGGCCACAAGTTCTGCTCTCGTCCAGCTAAACTATCGAAAGCAGAATCGGTGTGGAGAGTTGGAATCCGGCATAGACAGCAGATGCTAGTAGTGAAGCCAGCGACACACAGGCCTCTCTTCTGAGCCCCTCGACCCTCTCCAGGAGCTCTCGGACACCCAGCGCATGGTCTTGGATCTGCAGCGCAAGGTGCGGCTCATTCAACAAGATTCAACAAGATTCCGGAAGCTCTCGGCATCTGAGCACAACGGCCCGCTAGCTGCTGTCGCAGTTTAATCAGAAGATGAACGCAGTTGGCCTATAGTAGCCGGCACATGCCCTCGCTGCGACTCGCACCTTGCAGGGTCCGTAAGGCCCTTGCGCTTGCTGCTGCTGTGCTCACGGCAAGTGCAAGCGCCTGAAGCCCTGACCCCTGCAATCCTGCAGAAAGTCGGCTGGCAACCCGCATCGTCCGAATTCCCAGATAGTAGGCTCTTCTGCATTTCGGGCCTTTTATGGGGTACTCGAATACTCGCACGTGCTTTACCGGTTTACCGTAGCTGTCCACGGTCGCTTCCCCGGGCCAGGTCCTCGCAGACGACAGCTCTCGGGCGCTGGACGGAGTTTCTTCCAGGCATGTGAAACATCTGGCCCAGAATGGAGAGATCCAGAGATCCTACATGACCCTGCAGTACTAATTTGTAGATTTGAGACATCTTGTGATTGATCGTATATTGAAGTCTGGATGTCCTGTATGCACGACTTTAAGCATTGAAGGCATGTGCCGCCATGAGTGACGGCGAAGAGTGCTAGGCCACAGAGAGGATCGGACGTTGCCCATACACGGTAGCAGCGCGGTGCCCGACCGTCCTGGAATGGAGCCCGGAAGATGGGCTTGCCGCAGCTTCCCCCTCGTGTTTTCGGAAAGTTCCCGGAGCCGGTGAACAATCAATCCTCGCAGTCTATGAGCCCATTTTTGAAGGGCCCGTTCTGGGGAGCCTAGCGAAGCCGGTGATTGGGAGGCTGGAGTCCTTGGAGACGCAGCAACGTGCCAGCGAGGCGTACAGTCGTTGGCTCAAAGGTTTGTGCAGCTTTTCGGGGTGAGGTTTGTGCTTAGGCTTCGGATTTCCAGGGCCTTTGGCCTCGGTCGTGGGCTTCAGAAGAAGTTGCCAGTAAGCCCATGTGTGAGCCCCATCTGAGCCCTTTGTTCAGAGCTTCCATGTTTTCAGTCCCGCCTCTACCCCGACCGAGCCCTGCCGGAAGACACGTAGCGGACGTAGCGGTCTGGAAGATCAAGCCTCCTGTGTCGGACTTGCTTGGTAGGCTGGGCTTGCCACTGCAAAGCGCCTGAACGAAGAGCTGGAAAGCTCTATACTGCGAAGGTGCGCAAGCTTCTCTACGGTATAGAGACAAATGTAAGGAGATGTTAGGCCAAGTAACTGCCTACCAGACATATCCTGATGGCCAAGATGTTCTTCAGCTCAGCCCTACACTGGCCTTTTTGCCATGGTGTGTGAGGGAAAAATGCTTCGGGAGGAGGTCGTTTGGATCTGATTCGGGCTGCAGATGCGGTTTGGTTGCGCATGTTGCGTATGGTTGCGTATGGTGGCGTGTGGGGGCGTATGCTGGCGTACGGTTGTGTCACAGATAGCTTTTTCCCCTTTGCTGGCTCTTGGATGATGAGTCCTCCCGAAGCTTTATGGTTTGCTGCCCACAGGCTGGAAGCATTGGAAGCTGAGCCCAAGAAGGCGAGGACTGTCATGGGTAGCTTGGGGTAAGCATGCGCTTGGCTGGCCCCAGCAGCAAGAAGACAGCAGAGCTGCATACACAACTTCAGCAGAAATGCTGTCAACTAGCAGCAACGCTGCACCAACTTGGGAACCGTTGAAGGCCGAAGCTGCTGAGCCACCGCGCGAGCAGGAGAGCCTCAACCAGGACAGCTCCAAACGAGTTCTATTCAGTTTTTTGTTCAGGCTTCGGTAATTTCTTGTGACGGCCCTGCGGCACGTGTTGGGTTTGTAGAGAACTTGCCTTTGTGAAGAAGCGGCAGTCACTGAGAGTCTGAGAGTCGCGAAGCAGGGTTTGCTGGGTGCTTCAGTTTTGAAGGACAGGTCTCACGCAGTTTGCAGCTTCTCGTTTGGGCATGTCAAGTTTTGCAGGCTTGCAGGCTTGAGGAAAGGGCCCTTCCACTCTAGGATTGTAGGTTGCGTGGGCTAGGCATAGCTTCATGTTTTGCAATCTGAAGGTTTATGAAGTTTTCGGTCCTGTTGCAAACTTGCCTCGCCGACCCAGCTGATGTGGTACTGCACAGCTATGCGGCCAGAAGTTCTGCTCTCGTCCAGCTAAACTATCGAAAGCAGAATCGGTGTGGAGAGTTGGAATCCGGCATAGACAGCAGATGCTAGTAGTGAAGCCAGCGACACACAGGCCTCTCTTCTGAGCCCCTCGACCCTCTCCAGGAGCTCTCGGACACCCAGCGCATGGTCTTGGATCTGCAGCGCAAGGTGCGGCTCATTCAACAAGATTCAACAAGATTCCGGAAGCTCTCGGCATCTGAGCACAACGGCCCGCTAGCTGCTGTCGCAGTTTAATCAGAAGATGAACGCAGTTGGCCTATAGTAGCCGGCACATGCCCTCGCTGCGACTCGCACCTTGCAGGGTCCGTAAGGCCCTTGCGCTTGCTGCTGCTGTGCTCACGGCAATTGCAAGCGCCTGAAAAGCTCGAAAGTCTGCAGGATCATATGCTGAAGCGACATGTGTGGCGAAGCATAGAGAAGATGTTCTCCAAGACAGCATGTGAGTGAGAAGAAGAGAGACCGTAAAATCGGCGCCGGAGGAGCTCTCGGACACCCAGCGCATGCTTCTGGATCTGCAGCGCAGGGTGCGGCATCCAAGAGCTGGAATGGCCCTTTGCGGGCAATTGCGGGCCGTGTTCTGCAACAGTCTCACCGGAGAATCGCTCATTGAAGATGCCTCGAAGCTTGAGGTTCTGCGGATGGAGAAGGAGCAGGGCCCGCAGCTGGGCAAGGCCTCTCTTCTTTTGGTGCTGTGCAGGGCTTTCTGACAGTTGAAGGCTGTAGTTCTAGTATCGTTCTACAGTTCTCATACGGGCTCAGGAGAAGTCGCAAAGCAACGAGACGCCTCGCTCTACTGGCGTGGATGTGGTGGACGTTGCAATCCCAGACGGAATTTATGCAGGAGACGTTTTCTACGCTGAGGTGCCGCTCCCTGGCCCTGCCTCCCTCTACTAGGATACCTCCTTATTTGATTTCCGTGCAGGTGAATGGGGTGGAGTTCAAGGTTGTCGTGCCCGAGAACTGCGGGCCTGGAAAGATTATTGAGATGGAGGTGCCTTCTTCACTCACCCGAGAAGGCCATGCCAAAAGCTCTGCAAAATGCTGCATGCGCTGCAAGATGCGCTGCAAGTGCACACTGCGAGGCCTTGAAGCAGTGACCAGCCGCTCCAGCTCTTTGAAGGCGTGTGTGAACGTGGGAAAATGTGGGGCCTACGTGTGAAGCCGCGTGCCGCGTCTATTGCGCGTTGTGTGTGTGTGTGTGTACAAGCGCCTGGACATGGTGCAGCAGACAGTCCATTGTTCGGCTACGTGAAGCAGGGGGCGGCTGTGATATGGAACCCGGACGCGGATTTCACGTACCCGGAGGGTTTTTTCAAAAGTCGGGACCGTTTCCTGGTTGCGAAATCTGTGTTCGAAAGTTGGGCCCTCAGATTGGTTACCATGAGCAAACAGGAGAGCTAAGGATGCAGTACAAGGCACAGGCGATCTTGCCAATCCATGTAAAAGTGTTTGTGTGTGCCAGTGTGTGCCTGTGTGTGTTCATTGTGTCTCTCTGTGCCCTTGGTTTTTTCGGTCTTCTCTCCGGTGTGTTTTACTTTCTGTCTGAAAGAACCGCACATCTTGAGAGTGCTTTCTTTTCGCACCGAGCGAGAGGCCCACGAGCTGCCGGAGCCAGAGATCGTGGAAGTGGTGATTCCCGTTGGCGCCTGCGCGGCCGGCGGGCTCCGTGCCCCAGAGAAGCCCCAAAGAGAGAGATCCCCGCAACGCTGCATTGTTGCATCTCTGGCGCTCCTGCAGCTCTTCAATGCTCTTCATATCAACCTGTATCACCTTGAGGTTCATTGCAACTCTTCACGGGAAGGCCGTCAGAGTGGGTTTTTTGGAAATCATCTTTTTGTTCTGCGAAGAATGGTGTCCGTATCCGTGTTGATTTTCTCAGGACTACGAAATCTCTGTGCCGGAGGGTGGTCGAGAAGGGGACACGATCGAGATCGACTTGTCAGGAGAACTTCTGAGAACTTGTGAGAACTCAGTTTGATGCCATGTTGGTCAAACACCCAGCCCTTTTCTTTGAGGCCTGTCGCAACCATCATCACGGAGCTCGCAGGCCAACAGTCGGAGATAGTCGGAGTATGTAGAGGCATGTTTTAGACCGCCAGAAGCACTCGGAGGCATCCAAGATCTATGAAGTTGTTGTGCCAGAATCACTGAAAGCCGGAGATTTGTCGCGTGGATGCATGTTGCTGCCACGACCCTTTCATGAGTTGCGCACTAGTTGGCTTCAGAGTTCAGAAGATGAACGTGCTTTAGGATTGACGGTCTCAGAAAGCTGAGTGTGCTGCCAAGGTTCATTGCGCAGTTGGAGGGCAAGGTTGCGACTCGATGGCAGACGATGCGCAATAGCCAATATCTGGCCTTGGCAGGACTACGAGATCCCGGTGCCCTATAGTTGCCAGGGTGGTGATGTCATTGAAGTGGATGTTTCAGGCTCGCATCATCTCGCATCATGCGCCCCAGCATTGTCGACAGTGCCTGCCATCGAGGGTTGTCAGAGCCGCCATCCTCGCAGCCAGCATCCACCGCTTCGCAGGCAGTTTATGATGTGTGATGATGTATGCGTCGGCTGTACAGCCATCGCGCCAGCATCTTGCTGCGCACAGGATCCACACACCTTTGGAGTCGTCATACCACCGACACTGTGCCCAAATGACTCGCTACTTGGCGTTGTTGGCTCTTACTTGAGCTGAAGCTTGAAGCTTCCTGAGTCAACGAGGCCTCATGAGTGGTTTATTCAGATTTCTTCCCGCAAGATTACAATATGTCACAATGCTTGCGCAGCCACATCCTTCTTTCTCCACAGGAGAAGCTTTCAGACCAACACCTTGTATCTGACAGTGCCATGCCCGCCGAGATGCGGCTGGCAAGAAGTGTAACAGTGTGGCGAAGGCTCTGTGGAGGAGCCGGTCCGGCAATGCATCCGCATGAGATCGCCATGCGCACGGACGCGCACGGACCTTCACGGCTCATGGACACTTCCGGGCTAGTGCAACAGGCATGCAGAGATGGTATGGTGCGACTCCACCAGCCAGCAGCATGCTATCTGCGAGGCAAACAACGCGTCGGGAGCCCCCAAGAACTCCGCACGCGTGTATGCCCAGGTGCTTAGAGCAGAGAGAGAGAGAGAGAGAGAGAGAGAGAGAGAGAGAGAGAGAGAGCATGCGCGCAATCTTGAAGTCACCCCAAAGCAAAGCGAGAGCAGAATGGAGCTCACGAGCAAGATGAAGCCCCAACTGCCTCAATATCCTCGCGCCTGTGAGCGCGCGAGGGCCCCCCGTAAAAGCCCGCACTGGGAAACCCACCTCGCCTCTTGCCCATCTTGCCGCCTTGACGTGCAGAGCCCCATATCGACCCCGTTTGGGCAGAAAGGGTCAGAGGGGCAGAGGCGCAGGGGCATACTCGAACCCGAACCAGATCCTTATGCCCCTCGCGGGAACGCAGTGGTCCAGACCCCCTGCACGAAATCCCGACATCTCGAACTCCCGAACTCCCTTGTCGGTGGGGTTCGTGTTCGGGAGTAGGCTGTATCATGCTGTCAATCCCAGTGTCATCCCAGGTTTACCATCATGGTTGAGGGCAAGGCACGGTGTCAGGTTTTTGCATCTTCGATCTGACCATATCTGAACAGATGATGCTATTGTGTCCCATGCGCAGGAGTTCGAAATCACAGTTCCGGAGGGCAAGCAAGGTGGAGATGAGATCATGGTTCAGTTCGCAGGCGATGCTGGGAGAAGGCCGTTGGCGCATGTGCTTGAAGTGAGCAAGCTCAGGCTTGACGCCCCTGAGCAAAAGTTCCTGCCACAGACTGCATTGCCCTGCTGACTCCCGGACAATTTCTCCTTAGTTTTCTTGAGCTCAGGCATGCTGCTGCGCAAGGGTACAGACGAAGAGGCACACAAATTGGTCCTTCAACAATTCAAATTGTAGGGTACGGTCGGTAGATGTCGGTAGTGGTCCTTTTCTTTTTTTTCTCGCACGGGACAATTGGAATTTTGATTCAGCTGCTCTCCTCGTTCGGGCCTCCTGTTCTTCACCCGGTCCGAGGCTGCTCTTCCCGCATGCACAGAATCCTGCAGAGCGTCCGTGGAGTACCTAAAGAGTCTGGAGGGACCACAAAGAAAGCCGAGAGTGCCGTCGAGTGCCCACTCCCAGAGAATCCCGCAGCGAATGTCAAGAGTGCCGAATCATGCCGTATCCCAAGCCTTAGGTCTAGGAGTCTCGGATGGTCTAAGCTAGGCCCCTGGCGTCCCCTGCGTCCCTGGCGTACCCGCACGTCCTGTTACCAGTGCATCCTGCAAGGCATGACAAGAACATCCATGGTGCCAGCTCATCCAGAGCATCCATGCCGGCCCACACGCTACCAGAGTTTCAAGTGGCCATGAGCATCCATGCCCGCACTGCATGCAGTAGTAGCATGGACGTTGTTATGGGTGCGGACACATCGGGCATGCGGTAACAGAACGTTCTCATCATGCGGGCAGTGCGTCCCATGAGCACATCTCCATGCCTAGATAGTACTAGTACTAGTGCATCCCGCGTGTTTGCCGCGTCCCACTCTCCACATCCACTGCTCGTCCATCGCACCTCTCGCGTCCCTCGCGTCCCTCGTGTCCCTGGTGTCCCAGATGTCCCTCGCGGTCCTCGTGGCCCTCGCGTCCTTCGCGTCCCTCGCATCCCCCGCCCCCACGCCTCACGCCTCTACGGGCCCGTCTGCCGCGCATCCCCCGCCGTCCCCCGCCGTCCCCGCACATACACCAATGTCAAGCACCGCATCTGTACGCCTTGGTGGCATCTTGTTGTATGCAGATGGTGGTGGGTTTGCCGTCAGTGCCTGGAGGAGCTCAGTGCCACACCTGAAGGTTCCATTGTCCACGCGGTGGCGATGTTCTGAGAGTTGTTTTGAGTGCACTGTTGCATTGGGAGCGCAGCTCTGTATGTCTACTGGACCAGGCTCAGCAAGCTGAAGATGCTCGGCGGGACGGTCGAAGCAACCAGGACTTCATGGACATGTGCTTGGGTGCTTGGGTTGGTGGCAGCTTGTCGTGATTGTTTCTGCTGGATGCTGGCCCGGATGAGGAAGTAGCATCGCAGCCACAAGCTTCCCTACTTTCTGGCAGTGGCGGAGCTTCGCAAGAGGCGCTGAAGGAAGGATATCCAGACTCTCCTGACATGGCGGCTCATGCTCCTGTGCTTCGACTTGTGTTAGATGTCTCCGTTGTCATATCTGCAGCACATGCAAAGCGCAAGCAAGTTTCAGTGCGTCCACAATCATCCCGAAGTGTCCTCAATCGTCCACAGTCGTCTCGGCAATGCATGATATTGCGTGGCAATACTCTACTAGACTGGTCTGAGCTATGTCTGATTCCAATTCTCGGCCCACGTGACTTGAAAACGAAGGTATTGAGACCGGAGGTGGAGATTCCATCAGAGGTCGAGGTGAAGCCAGGGCGGCCGGAGGCATCAGAGGCGCAGCGGTGATGCAGCTGTGGCACAGCTGTGGAAGACTGCGAAGGCATAGTACATTCGTCTCTGAGCAGAGAATGTGAGTCCATGTGAGTCCAGCATTGACGAATTCGTCCGTCAGTCCTGTCTCTACAAAAGTGCATGCGCCGTGGGTTCCCTCGTGGCTTCCCCCCCATGTTTGCTCTTTGGTCAGGTGAGCCACTGGACACATCAATTTTGACCCCAGTCCCGTACCGAGTGTCCGTTCCCACTTGCCTTCTTGAAAAGCTATATGTCTTGCAACATGCCGTCCTGGTGCCTTCGATGGACTTGGCGGCCGGAGGCAGTTCAACAGAGGGCATCTTCAACGGTTTCCCTCGATCACTCGATGCTATTTGCAGCAGGAGTGTTGTTTGTCCAAAACGAGTTTTGACTGATGCTGCGCGGCCCGCGTCGGCCTGGTTCGGGCTACAGATGCCAATATGCCGAACCAGTCTCCAATGGTGACGTTGCGGTGGGAGCTTCTAGAGCTTCCATTCCCGTAACCATTTCCTGAACCCCCCAACCTGCCCCTCCATGGCTCAAATTTTCTTGACCCAAGCTCTTCAAAGCTCTGGACTAGCCTCAAAGCCAGCAAAGTAGCAAGACGGAATCGTAAGTGGCAAGTGGGAAGTGAGGAAACCCTCCGTGCAACCCTAAAGTCCACGGCGAAGCTCAGCTTTCCGCCATCTTAGAATGCCATGGTCATACTGCATGCAAACGAGGACATGAGACCTCCATAGCTGGGTACATCGTGGAACCGCTACGAGAGTCAAGAGGTTGCGTGGTGAAGCACCCGCTTTCTTTCTTTCGGTGCATTCAGAGGTCGTCGCCACCGATTTTTTGTGGTTATTTTCCGAGTACCAAGACTCAGTATGCAGCCACAGAAGTCTGAGAGTGAAGCACGGAAATGAGGGAAGAACCAAAGAGCAATTGGCTAGCCGCCTGCAGCAAAAGCCATCTCAATTGAGCTCATATGCGCGTTCAAAACCAAGAACAGGCAAAGAAAGCCGGAACAAACCAGTGAAGCTTTCCCTCGCCATGGATGTGCCTTTCAGAGGCTTACTCTCATCCAGGTGTTTCATTCCGGAAGTGAGTGCAGTGTTTCAATTGGGGCCTGGCTGTAGGGGCGGAGTCGCCTTGGCTGTCGTTCTTGGCGTGGCCGGTCCTGTCGACCTGTTGACGATTGGCGATGCCTGACCCAGTCAGTAGCGGGGCGAAGGCGAAGAAAGCAGGATGCTGGTCTTTTTGGGGCAGCAGAGCATCTGCAAGTTGGCCTGGCCCCAGTAGGATGCGGCATGTCCGGTGCTGTCAATGGCGGAAGCCACAACTTCCAAAGTGGCCTTGCCAGCAGCATTTTCACGAAGAACTGAGCGCCGCTGCCCAGCTGCAGAACCAGGTCAAACATCGGTTTTTGGGTGTCGACGGCGACGAGGGCATACGGGCGAAATGCAACTTCCAGGATGGGAGGAGAAACTAATTTTCCCAGGTGCCGCCAAGCAGAGCTGTGCAGCATCATGGAGAAACTAATCGTTGCCAAGGTGGCCATTCGAAACCTCAATTTTAAACAGCTCACTGGCAGCTGGCGAGTTGCCGAAAACAGCGGCGGATTCCTGGCAAGCCGAAATTTTTGAAGAGCGGCCTGAAACATCTACTATCGCGGCATGCTTCACGCTCAACGGCAACCAGATCCCACTGACGTTGCGCAAGCAGACGTTGATGCATCGACTTACCAAGTACCACACAAAATCAAGACCAACCCACGAATTTCATCTAATCTCCCTATCAAGATCTATTAAGCCGACATCCAATCGTTGCTGAAGGAACTTCCTGAAGGCTCGCAAAGAGACATGCTGCCTCATACGCTTCCTGTGCTGTTTCAGCACATTTCGCTCACGTCGGTCTTGCAGTACGCGACGATCATGTCTGACCAATGGATGACTAGCAGCTTGTCACTAGCTTTGGAGTTCCGCTGTTCCTTGGGCCATTGCATGCGGAACTGGGGTTCCAGGCTTTGCAGATCCGTTATTGGATCGCTCGATCCCTAACCCATCCTAACCCTATCTGAGCCTCATAGGGAAATCCCTTGCGGTCACTGGAGGTTCGAAGGTTCCCAGAAAGGTCCCTAGCCTTGTAGGCAGGTTGTGGGTAGTTGTAGGTTCTTCTGACTGCAGCAGGTTCATGAAGAAGTCCTTCAAGTGCGCGAGGCTGCCCTTGAAAACGCATGCATGCAAGCCGAAGAAGAGGCCGGACTCTCTCGCTCCATTTGCTTGAGCAAGCGTTGATCGTTCCTGTCAGCAAGATGCAGCTCGCAGGCAGAGCGTCAGCGTCTGGAGCAGGAGGCCGTTCATTGCTGGTCCGCAACATCTTCTTTGCATTCCTCGTAGTCCTCATGTCATGCAGCCTTGTCTGACGACAGGCTGAAAGGCTGCGCCGCGAGGAGGAGAGGGCGGTTGTGAGACAAAGTGAGCAGTTGAACTCCACGTTGAATGCGGGAAGACTTCTCTGCGCACAGGAGGAACGCGAAGCTGCCAGAATAGCTGCTGAGAAAGCGGCAGAAGAGGCTGGCATGTTCTTGCATCAAGCTTTCGATGAAATCTGTGGGATGAGAGTCGGCGCTGCATCCATCACTGTCGAAGGCAGAACGCCAACGCATCGAGGACCTTGAACGGCGAGCACAGGAAGAGGCTGGCGCTTTCAGCAGCAGCATCGGATTGTTTGTTTGCCTTCGGCACTTGCGCTTACAGGCTGAAAGGGCTGCCCGCGAGGAGGAGCCGACTTCAACCGGGTTGAAAACACCGACCTGCTTTGCCCTAGTGGTCGGCTACCGTTAAGCCAAAGATCTCAACACTAGGAGGCTCGCGAGAATGCTTGCATGCAAGCCGAAGAGGAGGCCGGACTGTTTCACTCCAACTGCATGAGCAAGCATTTATCTGGTGTGTGCAGGCAGAGCGTCAGCGTCTCGAGAACTTGCAGCGCCAAGCGATGGAGGAGGCCGTTCATTGCTTTTCCGCAACATCTTCTTTGCATTCCTCGTAGTCCTCATGTCATGCAGCCTTGTCTGACGACAGGCTGAAAGGCTGCGCCGCGAGGAGGAGAGGGCGGTTGACAAAGTGAGCAGTTGAACTCCACGTCGAATCGGGAAGACTTCTCTGCGTACAGGAGGAACGCGAAGCTGCCAGAATAGCTGCTGAGAAAGCGGCAGAAGAGGCTGGCATGTTCTTGCATCAAGCTTTCGATGAAATCTGTGGGATGAGAGTCGGCCCTGGATCTGCGAAGGCAGAGCGCCAACGCATCGAGGACCTTAAGCGGCGGGCACTGGAAGAGGCTGGCCCTTTCGGCAAGCAATATCCGAGATTTTGTTTGCCTTCGGCACGTGTGCTTAGAGGCTGAAAGGGCTGCCCGCGAGGAGGAGCTGCACATGTTGAGCATACAGATGCTGTCTGATTGCATCTTGTCCAGCCTCCCGACAGGAAGCCCGCATAAAGCGCGAGGAAGCTGAAATCAAGGGGAAGGTTGTTGTTTCAGTGTCAGACTCTCAGACAATGTCTCTGAGGTTCACCTCACAGCCCTTTCAAGTTTCCAGTCTCTTGCCGTCCTGGTTTACCAAGGACTGTGGTGAATGACGAAACAGAGGAGTTGATGGCCAAGGTGGGAGGAGGTTTTTTCATATATAGTCTTTTGTTTCGTGTGTGTGTGTGTGTGTGTGTGTGTGTATGTGTGTGTGTTTTTGTTCGTGTTGGTTTCTTGCCTTGCTTGTCTGCTTGCTTTGAGGCCTCGTTGAGGCTTGGTTGCAAAGTCCTGGAGCTTGCACAGGCCGCTCTCTGGGACCCAAAGTCTCCTGAAGTCTCCTGTGAGAGGTTCTTTATGTGTTTTTTCTTGCAAGGTCTGTATCAGGGAAGCAAGGCTGTCGGTGACTCCTGCCATTTTCTCCGAGCCCAAGCCAGAGCCCAGAATGGTGCGTGGAAAAATGGCCGCTGAACTGCAGTGGAACATGGAAGGACATGTGGTGATGAAGATACAATACTTGGGATAGATGTTTGTCACACCGTTGCATGTGGGGCTGGTTTCATAGTGGTGACTTGGCAGATTACAAGCAGCCTGTTCAGTGGCTGTTCCAAAATGCATCTCCTGGAAGTGTCAAACAGGGAGCGGTATCGGAAAGTAACTTAAAAGGAAAGGGCTGTCGGCTTTAGGTTAGCGGTCGTCAGGCATCGGCAGGTTTCGTTCCGCACTGTGGCGTATCGTGCACCAAAGTCACCAAAGGGACAAATCCAACCGCTTGTCGTCAAGCCACGAACCTTTGCGTTTGAAGTGCAGAATTTGGATTAGCTTGTTCGAAACCATCATGTCGTGGGGTTGAGATACTGTGGCACTTTTTTGGATGATGGCCCCCAAGGAAGTGCGCGAACGCTTCGCGCCTGGCCCTCGTATGCAAACTTGTGCACCCTTGGAGATTCGAATTGGCCAGGAAGGTTCAGAACTTAATCGAACGTCTCATGTCATGTGGCCTAGGTTAAACAGCGATGAAACCTTGTTGGAAGCTGGCGTCGAGGCAAAATCCTCTCTGCTTTTTTCCGCCAGAAAATTGCACGCTTACACAATAATAGTTATTGTCGGAGTGAGAGAACTCTGCGAGAAGTCTGCCCTGTGAGAACAACGCCGTCCTCAGAGCGAAGATCAGTCCGGCAGTCATCACAGCATCCAAGGTCCGGGCGTACATGAAAACAATTTGTCTCTGCTTTGCGAGAATGTAAAAAATATCACGTGTGCCGCTTGTCTTCCGAGGACTGCACGGCTCGAATTTGGAACGCAGAGCCTGCAGCCAAGCCATGACTCTGCAGTTGGCACCCCAAAGCTGCTGACTGCTGAGGACCGGAAAATGTGAGCTTGTTCTGGAGGGGCACACAGAAGCAGTGTGCAGTACTCTTACTCTCGCTTGTCCGAGTTTTTGGCACTTGCACTTGTTCTTCGCTTAGCAGAACTTTTGAGGTTCAGCGTGCATATCGCCGGACTGTCGCTACGCCGGGTGCTTGACGTGGCCAGCTGCTTCATATCATGTCTGCATCATGCTCGTCGCATCCTCTCAGGTTGCAACCTCTTCAGAAGATGGCTCGTCCAGGAATATTTGTATCTTTTTGAAGCGTTTCATCGCATGCATTGCCTGGGGGCAGATTCGACAAGTGACTCGTAGTTCCTGACTTGTAAACGCTGCGCGTCCACCGCGGCTTTGGCCAGGTGCAATAAGTTGAAATGGGTCGAGTTTGGAGTTGGAAGCGTGTCCGCGCCAGGTGTGACGTAGGGAGGTGTGTTTTTTCTCCTGGAGTCGCTGTTGAGAGGCGTTGATGGGGGCGCGACGGTTAGGGCCCCAGGGCTGTAAGGCTCGCATCCGCAGTTCCTGACATCGGTGCTCGTCACATGCGGATGCTAAGAGCCCCCTCCCATCCCCTTCGCGCACACCCGAAACTGTAAATGCAGTGGCACATCGAGAGTACCTAGAGGCTTCCTAGAGTTTCCAGGGGGCCAGCCTGTTTAAACTTTAAAGCTCTGACGCTCACGGCCGGGGCCGAGGCGAATTCACCACAGTCTACACTGGAGTCAGCCTTGTTACTGTTGCAGGCTTTGGTACGTGGACAGTGGCAGGTGCGCTCGAGTACTGTGCTGCCCACAGTGCATCTCACTGCAACATCGAGAGAGACTGGAGGGTAAGAAGTAAGAAGTGGCAAGTGAATCCGGAATGAAACCTGATTTACAGTGGAAGAGAGCTGAGGCTGGATCACAAAGAAGCCGTGTACTTCGCCACGTTTTCGCCTGACAGCAAGCAGGTGCTGTGGACTTGGCTTGGGGGTGACACCGGGACACATCATTCTGTGACAGAATCACTTTGTGACGCACACTCTGTCACACTGTGGTGTTCAGCACACTGAGGTGTTCAGAGTCATGTTTTTTCAAAAAGTTCGCAGAGTTCACTGCAGTTCACGCTTCTTCTGTTGTTTGGCCTCTGCAGGTGGTGACTGCGTCGGAGGATTCCACTGCAAAAATCTGGGTGGTTAAGTTGGCAGCTGAGGTCTGGTTTTGGTTGCTGCTTTGACTGAGAGACCTGCACCCTAAGAACCGGAATCTGCAAGTTCACCTTGAAAGGGCCAGGTCCTGAGCTGCAGGTGATCTCTCTATCTTGCTCCCGCTTCTATGCTGGCAGCTGCATGCGAAGCGATGCGAAGCGATGCCAAGCGTAGCAAAGCAGGCACCACTTCGCAGTGCTTTGGGCTACCTTCTCGCCTGACGGTCCCATGGCAAGCAGTTGCTCTTTCTGTGCTGTCATGCGCAGTCCCTGTACGGACACTCGTTGCATTAATCTTTGCATGTTTGGAGAGGCAGGAAGATGTAGCACAATTTAAGCATGCATTTGGACTGCTAGGCAGAAGCGTGACAACCACGAGCAGCGATGGTACACTGAAGATCTGGAATGCCCGTGGCTCAAAAACAAGTTCCCTTGGTTCATGTCGGCTAGCAGATGCTTTACCTGCAGGGAGATACAGGACATGATCGTACAATGTCAGGAGAGTATGGGGTGAGCTCGGCCCAGCTCGATGGGGAAAGAGATAAAAACCCCAAAGTCATTGAAATGCGGCAAAAGCCAATCAGTTTTAGGCCGCTGCGCTCGGCTTACAAAACTACTTGAGCTTGTCGCCTCCTGAGGCCAAGACGGGAGTGTGCGCGCAGGGCTTGGAGTGGATTGAGATCGTCCGGACTTCTGTCTTGAAGCAGTCGCTGAACGCACCATGGTGAGGACCGGACCCTTTTAGGGCAGAAGCCAGTCTACCTGGCTTCCTTTGCAAGCGATGGCACGACGTTTGTCACTACTAGCGTTCGCCTTGGAAATGTGAAGCCTTCAAGAGCATGCGTTGCGATGTGTGGATTGTTGAATACGTCATAGTGAAGAAATCGCCATGAATGGTTCTCGACCAGTAGCTGGGGATCCCCAAAACTACAGCGTGGCTCTATTGACAAAGTGGGACTTGCGTTCCCAAAGGAAGGGTACCCTGCAGTACCCCTTGAGTGTAGATAGTCCGTGCTGAAGCACCAGCAGGTCTTCAAATGACGTCTTTAGGGCTCTGTAACGTCTTATTTAGGGCTCTGGGGAGTTGAGGGGGGATTCAAGCATCCGAGGGGGAGAACTGTGTAGCTGGAAGCCATGGGAGCCTGAAGGTCATCAACAGTCCACAGCGTGCAAGTTGAAAACACCAACAAGTACAGCAGTAAAGCCTTAGCTCTGTTCAGTCCCTGCCACTGTGGTGGCAACTCTCGCCCATTTTGCGGCCGCGTCTAGCATCTTGACGGGACATGTGCGTGCGCAGTGAGCATCGCGGACGATCCGGTTGGTTTGTTTTGTTTTGGATCGCCACGTCGCTGAAGTGCAAAACGGTCTCGGGGAAAGTTCCGCGGTTCTCGCGACTGTCACGGCGCCTTGAGGCACATGGCGCAGGTCGGCGCGCATCGATGTGTCAACTGTGCCAACACCAACCCGGATTGAGGTTATTTGAGATCATTTGAGGTTAGTTTGTGAATCGGACGAGTGAACAAGTGGCTTGGATCTCCGAATTTCATCGACATCGCATTGCTTCTTGCGCGTCCAGAAATGTGTGCCCGGACACGATCCTGACGACTGTCTTCTTTACATCAACTATCAAAACTTGCAACTTGTACCTGAACATGAGGATGTGTCTCCGTGCTCGCATTCACATTCGCTGCGTCTGTCACAAGTTTTGTTTTTGTTAGAACGGCCCTTGCTTCCTTTCATTCCTTTCTTTCTTCCTTCGTTCTTTCTTTATGTCTCTCTCTCTCTGTCTCAAACCCTAGTCTGGATTTCTTCGTTCTTTTCTGGATGTCTGTTGCTTCCATGCTCTTCAAGGTGGTGATGCGACTGCCAAGATTTGTGACCTGATGCCCGCGCCTGATTGTTGAGTTGATGGGATGAGGGTCTCTCCAGGTCTCCCCGTGTCGCGCTGTTGGGAGTTATTGTGCGGAAGGACGGGAGAGGCCAAGATCGTTCTGACAGGCCACGACTCGCTTGTGCAACGCCCAGTTCATGTTTGGCCTCTGCGACCTGCTTCAGAGTCTTTAGAGTGAGGATTGTAAGCTACTGTAAGCTCAGGTACTGGGTGCTTCGTATGCACCATCGTGTCCGCAGCCAGAGTCTCACCAGAAGGATGACACTGGCTAAGCCAGGAATGCATGGTTTCACTCAGAATTCGCGGAGTTTTGAAAGCCTGAGACCTTGTCCAAGGCCTTCGGTTGTTTTGATTATGTGGGCCTCCCAAGTGGAACCACAGTGTAGTTCGTGAATGTTCGTGGCACAGCTCACAGCAGACTCACAGAGCATGAGTGGCAGAAGGAAAGAGGAGCATACGTCTCTGCCCTGATGCGGTGCACAAGGGCGGGTGGCTCTCAGCTTTGGACTAGAAGGCGCTCAGGCCTCATGACAGGTGCCACTCCCCAATCTCTGCCGGCCCCGGACACAGCATCGCAGCTGCCTGAAACTCTCGAAATCATCACGGAAGCTGAGGCCCGGAAAGCTGCGAGCTATTGATTCTATCATAGGATGGGAGGTCAACATGGATCGGTGCTTGTATTTTGGGAGAGGACCTGGACTTCTGGAGGGGGGTGGTCAATACCTAGCAAATCAATATTGGATGCCAAGCACAAGAAATGAGAGCAGAAACAGCACTGCATGCGAGTCTCAGCCGTTTAGGGGTTTAGGGTTTGGGGTCTTACGGGTTTCAGGGGCTTCGGGATTTCGGGGTTTGGGGAGTTGTGGTCCTCTTGGTAAGTTGCTGGGGGTTCCCATCTTGGTCTCATGCTTGGTCTGAACATTTTCGATTGAGAAGTATTATTTCATGGGACCTGCATGCGTTACCCGGAGATTATCTCGGAGGACCCTTCGAAGCAAGCTCCGGGGCCCTTAGCTATTTTGCATGTTTTGTTGGCGTTTTGCTTTTCGGTCTTGGGTTTCGTATCAAACTGCAGAGGAAAGAGGGGCTTTCTTGTCAAAGTTAAAATAGCTCTGCCTATTGACACAGTAGGGGAAACAGAGGTTTGCTTCTAAACATAGTGGAGAGATAGAGGTTGACTTACGAAAACATAGAGGAAGCAAAGGAAATCCTATGAAAATACAGTGGAGATAGAGAGGTTCTTCGATTAACGTACAAAAAGTAGAGGTCTTCCGATTTCAGAAACACAGGAAACCGAGGTTTCCGTATGAAATTAGGAAACACATGCAGACATAAAACAGAACAAAGAACAAAAAGGTGAAGCCCTGCAAGCTTGCTTGATAGCAGGCTCATGCCATAAGAAGGGCTTGAGTTGAGAACGCATGCGAATCCTTTTCCACAACCGTCATACGACTATCATCTTTGCAGGCGGGGGGGGGGGGTGCGCCCGCCCCAACCCCCGCTGTTGTTTTCTTTCTTTTAGATCTTTGCTTTCCAACGAAGACCATGCCTTGAGAAGACTTTTTCCAAGCGCATCTGCGAGCATTGTGTTTGCCAATGAGGGTGAGAGGCTGCCCCCCCTCCCCCCATCTGCCCGGTTTTCGATTTCTGCAGGGGCTCTCGCTGCTGCTCACCGCAACACCAGCAGCTCGCTTCAGTTCAGGGTTTGCACGTTAGGGGTTTAGGGGTTATAGGCTTTAGGATTCAAGGATTGATGCGTGGCATGGCTCGGCACCTTTCGAATCGGTCGACATGACAAGGACTTGTCAACCTTGACAAGTGGGCAAGAGCTATCAAAGCAGCAACCGAATGTGTGTTTAGGCTTCCCTAGTGACACCTTCCACCTTAATCGCCACAAGCTCTACACTATTTAGTTTCATCACCCAGCAGCGGAGCCTAAGAGTGGCGTGCAAATGCCGTTCATGCGATGGATCCAATGCTGGTAGGGCAAGCTGATGACGTCAGCGTCCGACAGCTACAAGGCCACGGTGCAGTGTTGGCTGTGGAAAAATGAAAAGATGCCAGCAAACATGTGGCTTTCTTGCAAGGCTTTAGCAGCCGCAGCAGCTGTTGGTGCAATTTCCGGCCCGCATTGCTGGGAATGCTTTCAGGGTTGTTTTTGGCAGCCGCTTCGTTCGCCGCCGTGGAAGGGTTGACACTTTCACATGGGTTGAGGGGTTGGTTACGTCCCTTGTCTTGCGTGCAGTCGGAAACATCGGTATTTATTTTTTTCGTCTTGGGCTGGTCAGTGGTGCTCAATATGTTCGCCAAACTCGTCGTTTTTTCGGCTTTTGCTGTGTTTGACGGAAAAGGCTGTTTTTAAACCGCTTTTTCGTTTTTTTTTTGGCAGGGGGGGGGGGGGGGGGGTGTTTCCCGAAACCTCGGTATTTACAATGTTTTGGGCACTTTTCCATGTTTTTTTTTTACATTGCGCCGAAAACGATTTCTTTGCAGTTTTCGCGGTTTCTGTTGGGAGGGCGGGAATCCTCGGTATTTGCAGCATTTTCGGGCCTTTTGGAGGGAAATACTCGGTATTTACAGCACTTTCCGCACTCCTCCTTTATTTTTGTTGTGATTTTTGTTGCTTCCGGTCGTGGGCATTGGCTGCTGTCTTCTGCATGCCTGGCTTTCAGCTGCCGGCGGGTGTCGGAAACGTCGGTATTTACAGCGTTTTTGCGGCTTGGGCCAAAAGAAGCAAAGCTTGCAGCAGCAGCTGCCCAGTTGTGCCAAGCCTTGTAGGGCCGACTGCACTACAAAGGACACTGCTGTTGGCGGAAAAGACATAGCACAAATCACGAACTTTTCCCGGACATGTGTGTCGCCAAAGCCCCACGTTTTTTCTAAATAATGCAACCCTTCCATGGCGGCGAAAGAATCGGCTACCTGGTTTTACGCACCGGAACGTGCAGGAGCAGCCGCTGCAGCTGCGGTGTTGGCATTGAAAAGCCCCAGCCGCCCACGCCCTTGTCCGGCTTTCGCCTCAACCATCCAGACGAGTGTTGCAAGAGTTGCAAACAAGGTTGCACATGCAACAGAGTTGAAGAAGAGTTCCCAACGAACTGCACAACGATCGTTGGAACATGATTAGGTTTGCGGCATCGCGCAACTTGTGCAGCTTCTTGCAGGCTGTGGACGCACACCTGGAGCAGCATCTGCGATCTGCTCGCATAGTGCCAGTCGTGACCTATGATCGGCGTTGCTGTGGGAATCTGATGCACATGACGTACATGTACATGGATGCACATGTACATGTGGTATCATGTGTCGTCATGTGTTGCCATCTGCTTGTATTAAACGCCATGTTCCGTTTCACTATATGCTGCGCTATTTCTAGTTACGCTGCACTGTTTATGTTAATGTCTATGACAATGGTGTTGTGCTTTGTTCTGTTATGTGTGCTTGAGCGAATGTTTTGTCATGAGGTCCTGGCAATCGAAGACGCTGGAAACGTCCAGGGCCCATGGACACTTTTCGTTTAGATACATGCCCAAACAACACTGCTTGCTCAACGAGCAAGAGTGCCCCCGTTCCCGCCTAGGCGGCCGAACTTGCCAGAGCCATTTATGATGGTGGCTTCTCCGTCATCGAGGCGACAATCGAGTTGCCATATGGCTGCTGCGTGAGACGCGTGAGACTGTGAGACGTTGCAAACGCTTGAGGTCGCATTCCGAAGTGCGGATGCTAAAGCCACTGGGACCACAAGCGAATGGCACACACATGGCACGAAGGCGATTAAATTTTTTCAAAGGAGCAATCCGAAACATGGGTAAGGAAGAATTGACACATGAGCTGCCAACAACCGGGGCTAAGCAAAGGACGTGCTGCGTGAGATGGCCGCTGCTGAGCCTCGTGCCTACTTCGGACAGCTGGTGTTGATGGGGTCGCATGTGGCCGCATATGGCCTGTGATTGCTTAGAGCTATTAGCAGCTAACGCTTTGGTGTCTTGTAGAGTCTTGAGTCTTGAGCATGCCAGGAGCCGGCACCATCTTGACGGCCGACCAGGCAGCAGCTGCCCCGGCCCCAGCGTTGCTGGCACCAGCGCTTGAAGTACGTGAGTGCACATTGGTGTCCCGACTTTACTAGTACTTTAGCAGTACTCTTGCCGAATCCTTGCCGTGTTTTTGCAGTCTGCAGTGGCAGCCGCTTCAGCCCAAAAACAAAGCCTTGGCGGCCTTGAAGGCTTTAGGCATGAGTGCTCCATGCAAGGGGCAAGGTGACCTGGAGACTGTCGAGCGACTTGCTGGCAAACAACGGCACATGGGTAGACGCTTCCGGAGTTCCTCTCAATGGTTTTACATGTGCCCAGTTCAATGGTGTTACATGTGCCCAGTTGTCTGAGACACTGCAGGCTTCGCCATGCAAGTGGAGCAACAGCCCAGGCAATCTGCGTCTCTCTTTCTCTCACACAATGCAAGCCCTGAATGAATGACGGATGACCGCAGCTTGCCGCATGCGGCTTCTCGCAAAAGCAACCCACAATAACACATAGACACGAAAATGGAACCGGCAACGATCAGCACGTCTTGATGAGCAGCACGAGAATGCAATGCGTGTAGTTTGGCCCTCCAAGTTTGTTAGTTCATGACAAAGTTCTTGAGATCGGGTGGTGGTGTGGACTTGTGACCACTGATGTCAGACACACCATCGTCCCTCGGCCATTCATTCAGAGCCCGAAATTGCCATGAGGCGTTCAACAAGCGTCCCTTTGTATCTAGGAAGTAGAAGCAGGGATGCGAAGAATCCTTGTTGGGGCAGGTGTGGCAGGTGTGGCAGGTGTGGCACGTGTGGGAGGTGTGAAAGATTGGAGCTAGTGTCTTGCCGCTCAAAGCATGGTTTAGCCGCCTAACTCGGGCTTCATGGTTTAATGGTCTGAGAATTGTAAACGTCTGCGCGTGCCCGCCTCGGCTGCCGGGCCGGCCGGGGTTTCAGTACCAGAAAAGGTCCCAGGGCGCATCTCAAGGGGCCAGCACAACCCTGGTGCGGGGCTTGCATCCTTTCTTCAAGCAGTGCCACACACTCATGAGTTCAGGAAGGTCCGGGTAGGGCTTCGGGAGGTTTAGGGGGTGTTCTGGGGGCTCTAGGAGGGTTCAGGGGCCGTTTAGACCCAATGCCCCTCCCCCTCGCCCACATACGAAGTGTGTTTAAGGGTGCCTCCAGGCCTTTTCCAGTCCATTTAGAGGTGCTGGGCCTGGTCCGAAGCCATCTGTGGGGGGGGGGGGTCAAGCAACCTGAAAGATTTTTCGATGTCCACTTGTGGTGCACGATGTGTCCATGTGCGTGCGTGGGTGTGTGTGGTTGGTGTGTGTGTGTGTGTGTCACATGCAGGACACAGATGAAAGATTGTGAGAGTTGGCTCATGTTGGTTTTGTAAATGCCGCAACAGATCTATTTGTGGGGAGCGACGCTCACCAGCTACAAGACCCCAGATGGCGAAGAGCGATGCTTGGCCGCTACATGTAGCCGCTGCACGTTGTTTTTTTTCGCCATGCTCTGCACACATTCAACATCTCTGCATCTTTGCCTACACAAAAAAAACTGCGTTTTTCAGGAATTTTCGTGTCGCCTGGGGCCCTCTTTGATGGCAAGAAGGTGGGACCATCTCATCAAGGGACACTGATCTCACTCACGGCCCTTTTGAACTCTTATAAAGAAAACCACCGATGGCCCAGGCCATACGAGGTGGAGTGCCCGTGGTCTTTCCGCAGTTCGGACAGCCGGACAAAGCCGGGCCGGCTGCTCTTGAAACAGTGAAACAGCACAGTGAAGGAGCAGCAAAACTAAGCGTTTTGTGAGCAATCTGCGTTTTGTGCGTTCAGTTTTTGGAATGCTTGAGCAGGCGATGGCTCAACATGGATTCGCGCGAACAAGCTTTTGGTCAGTGTCTTCTATAGAGGCCGTGGACTGCGTTACACGCTTCCTCACTAACCATGTACCTTGATTGCGAGACACTGCGCAGGACAACTCGGAAGCGGCACGCAACCCAGCCAGACTGAACGACTTGGCCGCGACATGTTAGAAGTTGTTGCCAAGTCCACCGTGGTGCTCTCGCTTGCCGACAGTGAGGCCGTGCAGCTTGCTCACAGATTTGCGTGGCATGAACATGACTGCAGCACATGTGCTGCAACTTCAGGCAACGCGTTCAGTTTGGAACTTCCCTTTCAATCTGGAGTACATTGTCAGTCTATCGGCCGTCGTGGGCCTAGCGACTTCCTGCCTTAGGATTCAGCTCAGAGCTGGCTTGTGCTCCCGCTCAGGTGTCCTTGAAGATGACGCTGAGAATAAAGAACACTGGGGACGCCGCCTTGCTGAACTTCCAAGGTCAATTTCTGTGAAGAGGTACAGCACTGACTCGTGTGAAGGCGCCCTTTCCCTTCCAAGCGCTTCTGCACACGTACTTTCGCGTGCCCGAGGTTCAGGAGGCAAGAGGGGCGGAGGGGACTTTGAACAGATAGTGCCGTCGGTGGGTTGGGGTAGGGTGGGGACTCAGCGGGGGGGGGGGAAGGTGGGGTACTCGTTGGGTTGTAGGTAGTAGTGGAAGTAGTGCTAGTACCGGTTGCCCTGTCCGCAGATCGCGGTGCGCGGCCTGGGCGGGCGGGCGTACCTCGACAAGGCGTCACCGCACTCTGCCCGCTGCCTGCTCTCATGTTGTGGTGCTCTTATGGACTGCTGTTGGTCCTGCTCTTTCCACAGGTGAAGGGTGGGGAGCGAGCACTAGAAGCAGCGCCCCCAGCACCGGCATGTCTGAGAATTTTAGTCCTGTTTTTGATGGCAGTTCCTTTGCCTTCTCTTGCCTCACCTTGCCTAGAGGTCTCAGCAGACGTCCAGCTTCCGTCTTTCACCGACCGCGTATACATTGGTGGCAATGAAACTTGGTCGATTCGAGCTCTGATCTTGCATTGAAAACTACTACTTTGAATGCACCCTTGCGGGAGTCTGACTGGTGGCGAAAGTATGAGTGTGACTCGTGAGAGAAGCATCACTGCGCATGCACCGTCGAGAAAGCAGGATGGAGGTAAATCACAATCGTCGTTGTTTCCTCAGGATGTTGGCGCTGGCGCCAAGGCGGGTGCTTTTCTCCGCTCCAGACTACGGCACATTGCAGTGTTTTTTTCTTGAATGTTTGCAGGATGTCACAATTGCGCGGAAAGGAGCTGCTGCCGTTGGCTGAGTTCGGTGCTGGGAAGGTCGCCAGAACCAGTGTATGATAGTCTGCGTGGCAAAGAACAGTAGAAACGAGGCGATGTATGCGGTGTGCAATGAAGGCCAGTGGGTTCTGTTGGCGAGTCTCCTTGCGCGATTCTCGGTGATCTCGATAATGGCAGGTACCATTTCTGGGTCCTCCATGCCCATCGAGATCGTTGTGCCAGCTGCTAAAGCATCAAACCTTTCCTGTTTATCTGGATGCACACGGCCACGAGGTGGAATCCTTATGAGGAGGCATCGCCAGGCGACTTACCACCACCAGTGTTCAAGGCATCGCAACAGGTTGTTGAAGACTGTTCAGAGAAGTGCCTCGCCTTTGTCAGGAGTTTGTCTGCGTGGAGCCTGGTCTCATCGGACGAACTTCAAGTAGCGAGTTCGTGGAGAAGCATGCTGCTTGGCCCTTCTGATGTCAGACCTGCGCGAATGGGCAGCGGAATGCAGTTGCGGTGCTCATTTGTCGACTCAGCCTCAGGAGCTGCCCGCCGGAGCGGAAGCTTGTCTGTCGCAGAAGATTATCCCAATGTGACAGCTGCAGAGTGCGGAGAAAAAGAGCTCAGCTTGAGCAAAGGACAAGGCCAATGAGCATCGATGAAAGCATTGCCAGACAAGTCTTAGCTTACGGGGCATATGCCTCATATGCCTCATATGCCGGAATGTGGCACTGAGGCGGTGCGCTCTGGCGCCCGATTCATCGCAACTCCAGGCCTCAATTCTGAGGCGGTCCGCTGTCGCCGCCGCTTTACGCTGCATTGCCTTGCCTCCGGCGTCGCCCCACACATTCGGGATTCGGGGAAGGTGGTGCTGTGGTGCTGCGCGAACAAGATCCCTGCTTCTCGGCAAAAAAAATGAACGGCTGTCATTTCTTGTGGCATTTTGCAGGGTCTTGTGGAAGTTGTGTTGCGAGCGCTTCAAGGTGATCCCCGGAGTGGCCACGCCCTCCGAGGTGCAAGAGGCCAGCAGGCGCCGTCTCCTTGGAACTTCTTTCCGTGTTTGTGGTTTTTGATGCTGATGTCTTTGTTAAGCGCTCGGAAAAATAGCTTTGAGAAACACTGAAGCTTTGAGACACCGTGCAGGATGGGCCTGAGCATTCTGAAGTTCTTCCCCGCCGAGGAAGGGTCACACATGATGTCTACATGATGAACATCACTGTCATCCCTGGTCTTTGCAGAAGCCTTTGTGAGGTTAATGGTGGCACGGAAGCACTGAAGGCGAGCAGCGGATGTCTACTGTGTGACAGCCCTAAGCATCTCGCTGACAGGCCATCTCAGCACCATTTCCTCATCTGAACTTCTATCCGTCTGGTGGGGTAACAGAGAAGAACCTCCAGGCTCAAGCGCTCGGTGAATCGCCAGCCGAAACCATCATGTGCTGCCCAAGGCCTACCTCTCGCTGAAGCAGGTCAGTTGCGCTTTCCAGCAAATTCTTCCGTATTTTTCTGTATGCAAAGCGAGAAGATCCTTCAGGTCATCGCTGTCGGAGGCAGCTGGATGGTGCCACAGGCACGATTCTTTCCACATAGAGTTCAAGATGGTTCAAGTCAAATTACGTCAAATTAAGTCAATTTGACTGAGTGTTGGGACAACGATGGACATTGATGGACCCATGCAGGATGCAATTTCTTCCGGAGATCGCGAGCTTCTGAAGACCCTGGCGCACAGCACTCTCCAGGTTGGGGGCTACGATGACTATGCGGGCCATGCCATGGCCACGCTTCATACGGCTCACCTCAGGTCGCTCGAAGCGTTGGCCAAGCAAGCAACGAAAAGGCTTCGCAGGGATTGTCTGGTCTCGAAGAGTTTCTGTCACATGTGCAGCTGTCATCAATACATGTGGCAACGATGTGGCAATGATGTGGCATGATGTGGCAATGGCTTTGCTATGTGCAGCCCCAAAGTGGCCAGGTTGCAACTGCGTCTCTTGATCATACGGTCCGACTGTGGTCAATTGAAACAGGCAATTGCGAACACTTGTGCCATGTGTTATGCCATGCGACCATATGCATGCCACCATTGAAATGATGCCATTGCCATCCATGTGTTTCGCCGATTCGGAGGAGATTGCTTGATGACATTCATCGGCCATGAGGATCAGGCACCAATCCTCTCCTCAAGCAGAACAAAAGTGAATTGAGTTGTTTTGCATCTCTGAATCCATTAAGAGAAGAGTTCCAAGAATTCCCGAATCTGGAGTAACTTGGCAGGGCCCAGCACGAGCAAATAACTAGTACGTGCACCCGCGAGCTTCCGTAGCCAGACAACGCATGGGCCCCCTTTGGCCTTCTTGGGGTTCAAAGTGTTCTCTTTTCCTGCACACGGTGAAACCTCAAAATCTGGAGAGCGCTCGGCTTATGGGCCCGCGTTTGCTTGAACAAATACGGCCTTTGAGTTTCCTACTCCCGAATGCTATGCCGGATTTAATCCGTGTACTTGCTGAGGTTATGACCTGAGCAAGATCGATAGCATATGTTAGGGGTCTGCTCACCGTTGCACACCTGCTACAAAAACATCCTGTGCAACAGCTTCAGTAGTAGTTTAGCACAATGTTTCAACCTCTCTCAGATCGCTTTGCAAGTCTTTGTGACTGTCTCCCAGACGTCCGACCCACGCACTCAGCCTTTTCTTGTTTCCAAGTATGTATTATACTACATGAAGCTTCGTCAGCTTCATGGGTAAACTGCGGTTTTGTGGCTCATTACTTTAGACAGAAATGGCAACAGAAAATTTGCTTGTTGAATGTATTTCCCATGGCCATTCAGAATTCCAGTATTCTTTTGATTCACTGGAGTCGTTGGGAATGCTGGGGCTTATGACAGTATGATGTATCTACTTGTGTGTACTGAGGAGAATTGCAAAGGCAAGGGTCCCTTTCCCTCAAGAAACCATGGGAATGCACATTGAAGAGAAAGACCGAATAAAGATGATCAACAGAGGGAGGGAATAAAATCAAAACCGTAAGACAAGTAAGCAATCGAGGGAAGAGGGGGCATCGGAATGAATCCAGGATATGTCAGTCCCAGGGGTCGAAAAAGCTGTGGGCAGACATTCTTCATCAGTTACAGGCCTTCCAAGAGCTTCCCAACTTGTTACTTGAATGCAAACATCTTGGTTTTCATTCTCATGGCTTGCCCAAAATGTCCCATTTCAACTTTTTTTGTCGCCGCCTTGGACAAGAAAGTTCGTGATAGCGACGCCTTGAGCAAACTACGCATTACTCGCATTGCCTCCTGTGCCATCATTGAGCTCGGTCTTACTGAGATGGAAGAATACAATCCATGAATTCGGACAAAGGGCGTGTACATGTCTCACCAGCGATTGTGTGTTTTCGCATGCTTGCTTCTTGGGATGCAAAACATAAACGGCACCAACTCACATACGCACTGCTCCCGCTGAGTTAGTACTTGAGCTCGGAAAGTGCGACATACATTCGTGGTGGAGAAGCAGGTCATGTGCGTCTCGTTCTCTCCAGATGGCGAGTTGATTGCCACAGCTTCTACGGACTGACAGAGCTCTGTTTTGCATCCTCTTTCGCAACTTTCTGCCTTTTTGCAGGACAAAACTGCCAAGCTGTGGCTCTGCCAAACTGGACAATGCATTGTCTCTTGTGCGGGGGCCCTGTTCATCCGCTGGCAATCCTGTGTGAAGCGTTGACGGTGTAAGGTGGGACACTCTGGGCCTGTCTACACCGCCTTCTTCTCCCCTGATGGTGCGCTTCCCTATCAGCAGTCTGAGCATTGCAGAAGATCAGCAGAACGTTGCCTTGAAGTGTTTTTTGCCATCTCAGGGTGTAACTTGCTGACGTCGTCTCATGATCGAACTGTCAAGATCTGGGACACAGCGATTCTTGGCTCTCAGGATCAATGCGATTGCCCCACCATTTCTTTTTTTGAGAAGAGAGAACGCTTGGGCTTGCTCAGAGGGCTCAGAGGGTTTCTCTTTTTCTTGGGTGGCTTCTCTTGCTCCTTTCTCTTCCGGCCTGGACAGCCAAGGAGCGGTAGCTTGTCGGCAACCTTGTCGAAGCACCCCTGCCACGTTCAGAGGAGCACTTTCGGCTTCAGCAGCACTCTACTGTTTTCTTGGGGTTCCGGACTTTCTATGATTGAGTCAGAGAGTGAGAGATAGGAAACAGAAAGAAGCAAAAAAGAGAGATCGCATTCAGAAAGAGAGAGAAAGAGAGAGAAGGCCGGGGCCTTCCCTCGAGGGGGGCCTCTTCGTTGTTCAGAAGAAGAAGAAGAGAGAAGGAGAGGGAAAAGAGAGAGAAAGCGAGAGAGAGGGAGAGGGAGAGGGAGAAGAGGGAGAGACAACAGAGTGGGCAAGCTCTCACATGTTGCGCCAGGTTCGAGCGTAGCATTCACAGCGCCGTGTACTCACCAGATGGCCAGCTGATAGCCACGGCCATCGATGACCCAGAAGCCTTGTGCTCGGAAATGCGTCGACGTGTGTTGGCGCGTGTTGGCATTTCTCCAAGTAGATGGAGCATCATTGCAAAGGCGGACATATCGGTTCCACGCGTGTTTCATTTTCCGCTTGTGTAGCAGGCTTGGTCAGGCTTGTTGCAGCCTAGTGCAAAGCGCAAGCCGCGCTGACTTGCTAGCAAGAAGGAGCTGCCAGTCGCGGCTGCTGTCATAAGATTGGTGGGGCGGGTCAGGGGGTTGCTTGATCTCTGGAAGATCCAATTCAGTGACCCCCACGTGACTAGAGCGTGCAAATGCGTGCAAGCATCAGGGAATTCATGCAGCAGTGTGGCAACGCTCATGTTGTGATCTAGAGCGAGCGTATTCGCGTGTAATGAAAACATAGTGCGAGCGATAGAATGAAATGCGCTAGCCGCTAGCAGGACAAGCATGTACCGGCGTGCTTTGAGGTGTCAATATGGAACGCAAAGACCCTCGACCGTGCCCGAGGCCAAGTCTGCCAAGTCTGCCAAAGGCCTCGGATTGAGGAGACATGACGCACAGAAACTCAGGTAAAAGTCCTGTCCGGCCACGAGATGAAGGCCGGAGTCCGCGGGAGTCCGCGGGAGTCCGCTTTGTGTGTGCAACGTGTTCAACAGATCTTGAAGAGGTGTTGAACAGATGCTGAAGATGTTGGCCAGGTCTTCAGCGTGCAGTTTTCCCACGACGGAAGCTTGCTGCTCACGGCCTCCATGGATCAATCGGCCAGGATCTAGCAAGTAAACTGGGTAAACTAGCAGTCAGGGTAGGCTTCCTTGAACGTGTTCTAGGGGGAGAGGGTTACAGTGACACGGCTGCCCTGTTTGTTTTACATTGTGACGCTGCCGCCTTGTCTGATCTCCAGGATAACCGATGTGCGGACTGGCAAGACCAAGCTAACCATCACAGGCCTGTCCTTCGCATCGTGTGGACAGGCCATGATAGGCCCACATGAGATCAAGGCCACGACGATTGGTTGCGGTGCGCGGCCTTTTCGCCAGACAGCCTCAAGGATCGACACTTAGCCTTGAGCTTCTTACTTATAGGGGATCCACACAAACCTCCCTTTGAGCAGCAATGCTGGTTGAAGCGGCTGCGGTTGCAAAAAAGCGAAGGATCGAATCTCACTCTAAATAAATCGACCTAGAATCACCTGCGAAAGCACCCGATAGGAGGCACCAGCCCTATGACCACAACATGCCTCACATGATGACCCGTTCGAGCTTAGTGAGCTGTCAAAAAATATGGCCGTTGAGTCTCAATCGCCTGTGAGGGGCTTTCCGGGCCAACTGCAACAGTGGCGGGGGAGGGGTGCTTTGAGGTGTTCAGAAATTGGTCTGGGACCTTGTTTTTCCGGAGCTATTGATGTGACGACTTTCCGGAGAAGTTCTAGGAGGGCCCAGATGTGGTCCCGAGGAGCCCGGTGGACTCGGATGGCTAAGATTCGTTAGAATTTTGCTAATGAGCTCAATCAGCTGGCGCTTAAGCTGCTTAGAGCTGCTTTGCAAGCCGCTAGGCCCGCTAGGCTCCATTGCTTTTTGCCCGGTCTCAAGGTTGTGACAGCTTCTGGTGACGGCACGGCGTCGACCTTTGACGTGAGATGCCCAGTCTGCATGCGGTCAAGAATGATTTCAAGAATTGAATTCAGGCCAAGACGTGGAGTGCTGTCACTGGTCGGCCATTGTTGTCTCTCGTTGGCCATGAAGACTGGTCGCACTCTGAGTATCAGAATGTGTGCACTGTGTGCCCAGCGACGAAGACCACGTCACCAGTGACTCTCAGGCTGCGCATGGCTGCTTTCTCTTCAGATGGACGGTGTGTAGCACTCTGAGAGAGAATGTAAACGAATCAGCATGTAAACATCAGCATCTCTCGGCAACATGTCGCAATCCAAGGTGGTGACCGCGTCCAAAGACGGCTCGGCGAGGGTCGGGGGGAGTAGCATGAGTAGCACTTGCGTAGCACTTGCGTATTATTTGCGTAGCACTTGAGTAGCACAAGGCGGCCCAGGGAGTAAATGCAGAAAACATCAGCATCCTGCACCTTGAACATACGAATGTCCCCAAGTGTGCTCAGGTGTGGCGGTCCGACACTGGCGAATGTACGGCAGACAGAGGAAAAGTGTGTGCTAGAGTGAAAAGGATGGATGTTTTGCCGCCTGAGGCCTGAGAAAGCTGGACGGCCACAAAGCATGGGTGAGATGGGCCGCCTTTGCGCCGAACAGCAGTCATTGCGGGGGGCCCACAGTTCTATGCAACATACGCACAGAATGCAGCTTCGTGAGTGCCGGAATCATGACCGAGGTCGAATTTCGCTGGGTTCGTTCGGATAACGAAGGCTTGCAAATTATCGTTGCCGCAGATTCTATCTTCCTACTTATACATATATATATATACATATACATATACACATACACATACACATACATATAAACAGACATATACGTATACATATACATATACAGATGCAAATGCAGATGCAGATGCAGATGCATATACATTTGCATATACACATACAATATGAGTGACGGCAGCATGCGATGCCAGCTGCCAGATGCTTTTCTTTTCTGTTTTTGCTCCGCAGTCTTGGGGCTCAAGGTATCTCAAGGTCTACCCACGCAATGCTGTGATCAGTCTCGGGCAACACTCTGACAAAGCATACAGGGGGAGCCCAGCAGCTGCGGGTTGTGTCGACGATAGCATCCGAGACCTGATCGCGGCCTGCGTGGTTCTGTAACGATGATCATCCCTATGCCAGCTGTCGGAGCCATGTGTCACCCTCAGTCTCTGCGCTCCATGCGGTTTTACACCTGATTGCACCAATGTGCACCAGCTACCAGTGCAGGGGTGGTCCCCCATCGGCCTATGCACTGTCGAGGCAAACTCCAGTTACAGCGAGCAATGACGTGGTGTCACGCGATCGCATGAGGGCGGGGCGGAGATGCCAGGCGTCCGTGGGTCAACTTCGTACTTGTTCTGCAGAGTCGTGGGCTCAGGAGCTACGAGAGAATCTTTGTTTCATAAAGGAGAGTCTAGGAGAGCAGCACTTGTAAGGCCTTCTTTGTTTGGCTCGAATCGTCCTTGACTCAGATCGATCTGCTGACGAAATCTCTGCTTTTTCAGTGGATCTGAGCGCATCCAAGGTTCTGTTTTTGGACATCATGGGTGCGTTCTTGATGGCCTGGAACTTGAAAGAAGCAATGAGTTGAGTTCTGCCAGAGGCGAGCGAAGTGGCCTGAAGCATCGCTCCAATTAGAGGCATCCTGGTGTCAGGCCATCATGATAGCAGTGGGCTATTTCGGGATCAGAGAGGTCGAGCTCATCTATTTTCCTCCCATTGTTCGCGCTTCAGACACTGCCCCTGCCAGGACATCAACATTCAGTTGCTGTGCTACTGGGGAATGATGTGCCTCATCAACGGCTGCTCAGCTAAAGTCATGTCGCGGCAGTGCTGATGACATCTTGTGTCAGTAGGGCTGAGTAGGAAGTATGTGAGTTGTGCCGAAGCCACATCGTGGTGCATGTGTGAAGCTGTGCGACTGCTTTGTCTGTCTCGACGAAGCCGAAGGCTCCTTTGACTTGGTGAAGCTCATTGACGTGCTGGTGCTCCACCAAAAGAGTGACGCAAGTTGAGTGCTATGCCGAGATGACGGATGACGTCGGATGACGTGCACTGAGGTCAAGAATAGGATGCCGCTCTTCTCTTCGCAGGCCTCGTCCGAGTGCCCTCCCGCAAAGATCCCAACGAACAACTGTTTTCAGATCTCCTCTCTTCAGAAGATGGGGGCAGCTGGGGACCTGGCTGGGGGGGTAGAGAAGGTGGTGCCCGGGATGGATCAGGTTGGGGGCCCTTTTGTGTGGAGATAAAGCGGAGAGCAGGTCAGCTCTGAATGCAGACGTATTGGCAGATAACTTGGCTTCTTGAGCGCTGCTTGGAGCTTGATGCAGGTACAACATTGCCAATGGTATAGCCCTGGGCATACCAGTTGCAACCCTTCTCGGAGTTCCATTAGCATGGCAGCGTTCTGAGATCAGAGTGAAATGCAGTTCTGTGCAGCACTGTGCAGTCCTACTCTGTGGATTCTGTGGGTACATTTGTTGGTTCGCAGGTGGCTGTATCAGGACTTCGCGGGAGGCAAGGGCCTGTGAATTGTTAAGCGCTGTCAGTTTTCAAAGGCTTGCGAGATGCCAGTTGGAAGTTGGGACAGTGGTGTTGGATGTTTCGTAGAGTTAAACACTCTGAGTTAGGTTCTGAACCATCGCCGTTGCCTGGCCCTGGCCCTGGCCCTGGATACCGCGATCGCGAAGGTGGGAGAGACTTCGGAAACTTTTCCATCAGATTGCCTACTCTTTTGTGTACTCAGCGGCCGTGACGAAACAAATGGTCAACAACAATGTCAGGCGAACGGTACACAGAACGATCAAGCTTATTGGGAGGCCCCCATATTGCGATTCGTCAACACTGTTGCATCTGCTGCACCATGCATCTGGTTCGAAGTTTTTCCTGTCGGCGTCAGGGGCCGGCATGGCCAGCACATTCACCGCCTTCGAAGGCGGCAAAGGGGTCGGGGTCAGTGTAGCATAGATCAGTATAGTGCACCTGCGCAGTTCAAATTGAGAATGGCCAGCCTGGGAGGTGAGGGTCGACGACTTGGAGCAACTTGATGCTCTCGCATTCTCTTAGACAAAAATTGGAAACATCTGAAGGGCTTCCGGCCCATTCCTGCATTGAGCGTGGTGCATGTTCAGAAGTTGCCTGATCTGCATTGTGCACAGCAGCGAGATTTTACCTATAAAGCTTTGAACCATGCAAGTTGCCACTGCGTATCCCTCACGACTCCATCTGTCTATGTCACACAGCAAGGGAAACTCTAGCTGCATGGTCGTGTGTTTGATGGAGACCTAGGACAAAGCCTTTGCTGTCTAGTTGAAAGAAACAGAGCAGGCAGAGCACACGTCGCAATTGCGCTGGTGTATAGCGTCACTCGTTAGCGATATGGGCGATGGTACAAATGAAGAGACGGTCCAGACTTTACAAGCCGCTTAGCTGAGTGCCGCCTTATTCCACATCCTTGCTGCATCTAAAGCTCCGAGGTGTCCAAGAAGCAAGCGCTTCAGCTGGCAGGACCCCTTGGCGCAGAGGACCGAGAGAGAAAAGTGCGCTCTTTTTTCTTCGCCCCCTTTGAGAAATCCATTTCAGATCATTTCAGTGACATTCAGATCATTTTCAGTGTCAGATGGAAGAAACATGAAGAAGCGCACACTTTTGGCGCTCTCAGGCCCAAGGCCCAGCTCGGAGCATCGAGCAGAGGCCGGGGGGAGTCCTGTGCTTCTGCCTCTGTGTCATCTTCCCCCCCACCCCCTTCCCCGGCTGTTCTCTTTAGGTCTCTTGAAAAAGAAACACCTGCGGTTGTGCAGTTGTGTAGCTGTGCTGAGTCGTCTCAGCTTTCTGCTTGTCTTGGTGTGCATGCTGCCTGACGACCTAGCATCAAGAATGAATCCTGTCACTCACTCATGCTTCTGTGCCCCATCTGCGGCCCCTTGAGCAGTAATTCGTGGCAGGACTTCAACCAGCATCATTGTGGAACACAATGCGAATGGCAAGGGGCTCAAGCTCCATCGTTGTGTGAGAAATGCCTGCATGCCTCCTAAGATTCCACAGGTGCGGACGTGGCAGTCAAAGGTTCCAGAGCCGGTGTTGCAAAGGAGCGGGATCTCGTACACAATACACAGCCGTTTTTGTGAGGGGCTCGTTCCTTGCATGAGGCCACGACGCTGCTCAAAGCCCTCGTCGCCTTCAAGGAGTCGGCATCCCCCGAGGACTCCCCTGAAAGAGCCACAAAGGTCGTAAATATCGTAACAATTAGTAACAACATTACTGGGCTCAGGTCGGAGTGGCCCCTCCTGCGTGGGGCGCTTCGGCTCGCAGCGTCTCTAGAGAAAGACATACAGTGCAGGAAGAACTGAAGACGGGCAGACATAAGACATAAATCAAGATATAGGCTAATTGATGAACGGCAGAAAGCACGAAACAACTCTGAAGAAGTCATGGGTAAGCCGAGAAAGATGTACATGAATAGCGAGTCAAAAAGCAGAATAAGTAACGAAACACACACGTGCAAAACCATTTGCATACACTAGCACAAAAACGGTGCAGGCATCAAGACCCCCATCTCACAGAGCGAGGCCAAGAAAGTAAAGGAACACATACATGTCTGGTAAGTAAGCACACGAAGCAAAACAGATAAGAAGACAGTTTCATTAAGGCACAGAAAGTGAACTCTTTCAAGAAGAGGAATGAACCAAACGGAGAGCACATCGGAGCCACAGAGAAAGAGCTGCGAGAAAGAAGGGCAACTGCAGACGCCCACCATTTTCCGTAGCCAGTATCCGCTCATATGTCTTCGAGAGGGAGCAAATTCAGATGCATCCTTGACCTCTTCACAGGCGGTTCATCTTCGACATGCTTCGGTGGTTTTGACCCAATAAGTGCATATTTTGCAATAATCGAGGAGGGTCAACTAGGGTTCCACTCTTCTTCTGTTAACCAGTCTCTAATGGGCCGCAGATCGGGTTTCGACCACGGTGAGGGGGCCACAGTGAGCGGTGATGAGCAGCGATGAGCTTTGTGACCAGCGCGGTCCAAAGACCTTGGACGACCTTCCTCCCCTACCCGAGCCGAAGCGAGTTGAACAACGTCGCCAGGAACGCACGGGTGGCGTCATTGTGTTGGGAACTTGTGCGGTTCTCATCGCTGTGACGGTGACCGCTTCAGAGAATTTCCCAGGAGCTTCCAAGTGGACTTGTCGGAGTTTCATTCTTGTGCAAGCCTTGCTAGCAACCCAATTTTGGTTGGTGCTGCTACTTGGGAATCCAGGGGTCGTGAATCGATCCCCTGAAGCTTGCTTTCCTGTCCCACATCATGTCCTGTCTGGGAATGTCGCGGAGAACGTAAGAGACGGCCGCCGAAGCTTTTGCGTGCGATGCTTCGTGTGGAGGGATCTTGACCAGGGCGACAAGGACGTCGCAGCTCCTGGCAGCTGGAGCAGCTGGAGTATGAGCTGCTGGAGTTCGAGGCTCTACAAGTTTGCCAAGCTACCAAAAACTGCCCATCACTGCCAGATTTGCCAGCGATGTGTGATGTACTTCGACCACCATTGTTCTGTTCTTGGCCGTTGCGTTGGTTCAGGCAACCTTGCCAGCTTCTGCGGTCTTATTTCCATGGGCATGCTTGGAAGCTTTACTGCCGCAATTTCCATAGGAATAGCCGTCCTGATTTCGTGGGATGACGTGCGCAGACAACCTTGGATCCTCGTGTCAGTCAGCATCTTCTTCCTTTTCTGCTGCTGCCAACGACCAATGCTGTACTGTCTGCGCAAACTGCAGTGCTGCTGCGGCAGCCTGTGCTTGAGACAAGCCCATGATGCGACACCTGTTGCGTTCGGCGCCATGTGACAGCAGAGCAGAGGCCCTGAGCAGTCCGAAAGCGTCTGAAGGGCAAAACAAGTGGCTCATGCACATGACGCCTGGCGAGGTAGTTTAACTTGGTGTAACCAATGAGTGTATTGTTCCCAGTATCCGGTAACAATATGTAACGATAGCAACGAGCACCGGCGGAGGGGCCACTCCCATACCAATGTACGACTCTACGATGTCCGCCTTTCAGTTCGACCATGTTCGACCGTCAAAACTGCTTTGAAAGGCACAAAGCATCGTGATGGAATAAAAGAGGCATGCTACCGGCATGTTGGCCAGGAGAGGGGCATTTGTCCCTGGTTTGCCTGTGGGTTCTGCCGCGAGCAAAGAGACGATGATGATGGCTGCGAGGCTTCTGGTTCTTGCATCCGCTGCGCGACTTTCCAATGTAACCACTTTGAGCCACTTTGAACCACTGGCTCTCCACAATTGCGTGCGCTGTGTGAGAAAGTTTTGAAAGAGAGCGGAGCTACTGTGCTATGTGCTACTCCTTCCAGGCTGGACTGCATTCTTCGGACATCATCGGCAAAGTTCAGGCTGCTGCAAAGCTGGGTACGTTTGTGGGACAAACCATGTGGCCCGGGTCCACCGACATACGAATGATCAGAACGTGAATCGCTTCGTGCTGAGCTTTGTTCGAAGGTAGCCTGTTGCACTATCGCAGTACGGCGGCACTTTTGGTCTTTCTCTGTTTGGGGTCTGCGCAGGCTTAATGATGTAGCGCCAGAACCCTCCTGAGACGGAGGGAACAAAGCGTAGCGTAGAAACAATGCTGGTTCGGAGTGCGCGTGTCTGTGTGTGTGCGCGCGCAGTTTTCCTGAAGGCAGATTGGCTGGCCACGACGAAAGCAGTGTTGGAAGTGGAGACACCGAAGGCCGGAATGCCGTTGTTAGCAGGCGTCCCAAATGCTTCAGCCTTCAGCAGATCTCAAGATTCGACCACCTGGCACGCCCAGGATTCAGTATACGAAAACCAGTGAGCAAAAGACCTGTTTGTCGCTCTTTGATTGACAGCAATGATCAGCAAGCCAGGAGTTTTTTCTATGATGCGAGACACATGCAAGTAATGCAAGTTGCAGTCTTCGCAGATCTGGTTCCAAGAAGGAGTGCTGCCAGGGTGCAGGATGAAACTACTCCAAGCCACGGCAGCGTTTACAAGTGGCAGCGAAGTAGGATGGCATCACTCGTCTCATTCCTATGCCTCTTCAGCTTGTCAAGTTTGACCTTTACTGGATTCTCTGACAGGTCAAAAGTCGGCCTCTTCTTCTCACAGTGTCCTGTGGTGGAAAACCCCCTCCTCTGCTTCCGCTGCTGCCTGGCCTGCCTCCGAGTTTGAAGACGTCGCATGCCCACGACATATCACGGCAATCCACACCGCCCCTCTCCGTGTGTAGCTGCTGAGCCACAAAGACTTGCGGAATCCTCACTGTATCAGGCCAGGCAGCATGGCCAAGACCGGCCACAGGCGGCGGAACAGGCAAGGCGGGGCTGCGGCGCGGCGGAGCAGCCGAGCATGCCGCAGGCAGGTCAGTGCTGCCTAGGTCGCTCTTTCGTGCCAGGATGCTCTGAAGAGGACCTCATCGAGCTTGATGCTGGGATTTGGGGTCTGGGGCGATGCCATGTCGAACTGTGATGAAGTGAATAGATGCTGGTGTGCAATCATCGTTGTCCCGGATAAGTATAAGGTTGTGCATGGTTGCAATTGACTGGGAGAAGGCATGCGAGGCCTGCTTCAGATCGAAGCGGGGAGTCCGGGAGTCCTGACAGTGTATTGTGAAATTGTATCGCCATGTGGCGATCACGTGCCAGATCAGCCGCTTCCACCGATTCATCAGGCGCAAGTGTTGCTCGAACTTTGATTGCCGCAATCCTTGTACAATTTCCCTCAGTCAAAGGCCCGGCGAATGGGATCAGAACGACACAGAGATGCGCCAGGCGCCACAAAACGAAGACCTGTCACGTGCAACCTCTTTTGTGTCTGCAGTTTTTGCGACAGAAGTGCTCATGTCTTTGATGCTTTCTCGCTCGCTCTGTCTCTCTCTCTCTCTCTTTTGCTCTCTCTTCTCGCTTTCTCTCTTTCCTCACATTCTCTCTCGCTCTTTTGATTCATTTTGGAGGCGTTTCCTCCGTCGTTCTTCGCCACCCCCAAGGCAAAGCCGAGCAAAGCCGAGCAAAAGCAGTCGTCAGATTCCGGCAAAGAAATTAGCCGGGTCTCAACGTGACATGTTTTGTTTCAGGCTCTGACGTTCAATGATGCATTGGCTGATCTCATGGATTGGCTGTTCGCGGCTTGCCATTCTCTTTGTTCTCTTCACGCACATAATCAATTCGATGACTTCTCCAAGAGACACCTCCGTTCCTCCCGAGGCCAGGATTGCTCGGGGCAGCTGCCCCAGCGGAGTAAAAAGCAGTCCATTCGAAACCACGGCCGCACAGCGCCTGTGATGTCAGCTGCTTCTCTAGCGCTGCTCCAGCCATTTTGGCCATCACAGCATCCAGGTCACCCTCGATGAGGTGATGCCTGAGGATTTTCTTTTCGTCAGTCCGAGGCCAGCTGGAATTCTGCACAACAGTTGTGCCATGTTGTGCCATGTTGTGCCTATGTTCGTCCGGTGTCCAGGGATTGGGAGATCCAGAATTTGCTGCCTAGGCCATGTTCTTCTTTTTGGGTTTGATGTTGTGTGCAAAGAAGGGGGGCAAGTTGCCTTCGCTTTCCAGAGAGGCGGTGCACGTTCGCAGAGGTGGACTTCGGCCTACAGGTCACGCATGCTAACACCAACTTTGAGGGCCGACCTGCGCAGTTTCCTGTGTGGTTGCGAAGTTCAATGCTCCTGACAGGACTTCTTTTTCCGGCGCTGGTGTTGCTTAAAGGACTTGAAGCGCTTATTGCTGCAAGATGCTATGGGATGTAGAGGTAGAGACACTTCCAGAACTCATTGTACTTTGACAGAGTGTTGAGCATTGTGATTGACTTTGATATCGAGTTCTTGCTGAAAAACGGCTTCGCCAACTAGTCACGTTGTTGCTGTTCTTGTTTGAGTTCGATGTCCGGGGGGGGCCCAATGGTACCGCGAGAGCAGCTGGCCCGAATACCACCACCCCAAACTGGATCATTGAGATCTGCCCGTCCTTCCCCAGAACTTGAACGGTCAACAGTCCGTTGGTGGTGGGAGAGCTTTTCCCCTCAAGATTACCCCCAAAAAGATTTCCATTCCTAATTATTCCGAATTGTAGACGCTTGCGCGCCCCGCCTCGGCAGCCGGGCCGGCCACGGGGAGGAAAGGTCTCAAAAAAGGGTGTGAGGGAAGGGTTGTAGGTCCCATATCAAAGGGGGTCCCAGGGTGGGGGGGGTTTTGAGGGGGGGTCCCAGGAGGGTTGCAGGGGTCCGGAAAGAAAAAGCACCAACAGCCAGCATCTGTTTGCAGCTCCGATGGGGGGGGGTCCCACAGGGCGCGGGGGGGGGGGGGGGATTTGTGGGAAGATTTGGGTTAGGGGGAAGCAGACCGGATCCGGGTCTGCTTGTTCCAAGCACTTCTCGGCAGGAAGCCGAGGCGAATTACCCTCTTCCAGGGCTTAAGTGTTGGATCTGGGATTTGCAGGGGGTACTGTAGGAGCCTTGAGAAGTTTGCAGGACAGGTGGTGTGAGAAGGCTTATCCCAATCGGTAAGCATCTATAGGAAAGAGAGCCGTTTCTCTCGCTTCCGATTTGGGAAGGACGTGTTCAGGCAACACTTCGCTTTGCCGAACGAGGTGAGATGGAACGCAAAAAGTCACTGCAGTTTGTCCTGCTTTTTGGTGGCCGTTTCTTTGGAGGCAGCTCCCAACAGTCTTGCAGCGATGGCTAGATATCTCGGCATACCTTTTGGCGAGAAGGCCCCATTTCTTCTTGTCGTCGGAATGGGCAGCAGCTTCTTCGCGATTCGCCAAGCTGGCTCAAGGTGAAGCGAACATTCTGCATTGACGAGAATGCCACTGTGGTCAAAGTCACGCTGGACGACGTCTTGGGAGACATGGCAGACTGCTTGCAATGACGCCACCTGAGATCATTGTCGTCTCGTGAGGAGCTTGTGAAGAAAGGGTGGAAGCCAACAGCCACTGCTTGGCGAGAGTCTGTAAGAATCTTAGGCCCTAGGGCGAGGGAGGCCTTCAAGGTCTTCTTTTCGGAATTTCGGCATCTTGGGAACTTTTGTGCCGCGAGGTGATGGCACCGACGTCTTTCCTGTTGCCCAGACGTGGTGACCTTCCTGAAGAGCCAAGGGCCTACTTCGCAATTCTTGCATGGAGATGGGCGACGTGATTTGATGCGATCCGATGCAGCAAGGCGGGGCGCAAAGCGAGACTTCTCGCAAATGGAGGCCGCGAAACATACGGACATGGTGCACAGGTTGAGCCATGTTGGAACAGAATAATGTGTTGGTCTTCGATGTTAGCGTCCGTGAAACCGTGAAACTTCATGATCGTTAGCATCCCACACGGATTAGGCAGCTCCCTTCCACGGGCTGCCACCGCCGTGATGCTGACAAGAATTGCAGGATTTTGCTGAAGACACGTGCACGCTCCATGCTGGTCAACCTTGCAGCTCATCGCACTGCCGCTATGCGCCCCCGTGCCGCTGTCCTCCGCCCTCTCTCTGTCTGGCCAGGTCTGGACATCCAGACAAAGTGATCGGTCTTGGGCCTTGTGTTGTGGAGCCTTTTGCAGCGCGCGGGTAGAACACCCCGAGCCCAGGTGCCACGGCCAAAGCCGCCGCAAAGGCTAAAGTCGTCGTTCCTCCTTGGCAGAAGCTGATCCCTGAGAGATTCCCTGAGCTGGAGCTTAGGGCTTAGGGTGGGGGTGGGGAGAGCGCGTGGGAGGGCATCTCGCAATGAGGCCGCAGCCTCTTCCGAAGGGACCGACTCCGATGGCGGCTCCGACGGAGACGACGGCGACTCCGACGGAGCCGGCGGCTCCCATGTCCTTCGAAGCAGTCGATTGAAAGCGGAAAACATCGGAAAACCATGGACCCGGGAAGCAGTGGAGCTTACCATGGCAGGGCTGTTGCAGGGCTGTTGCAGGGCTGTTGCATTGGGCACGAAATGGTGAGGCGTCGTACTGTAGCATACCTGGCAGACCTCAGCCGCAGCCACTTGGATCATAGCATGCTCCGGCTTTGGAGCCACCTGGCACAGCGGCGGCCGTACTCTGATGAGGACGCAACAAAACGAGATTTTCTTGCAACGCCTTGCAAGAGTTGAAACATGTGCAATGCAGCTGCGGCCCATGGAACACCAGGCACAAAGAAGATGAGCTTGCCGTGCGGAAACACTTGAAGGCCGGTATCTCTTACAGCCCCAAGCCTTGCAGACCTTCGCCGAATGATGTCTTGGGTTCGCCATTTTTGGTATTTGTGCTTACGACGTTATTCGTGACCCCGCTCTCTTTTTGCTCGTTTTCGGGCCTTCAGACTTCTACTTCAGATTTTTCGGGTGTTGGTAGGGAAAGGGGGGTGTTGGTAGGGAAGGGGGGGTGTTGATAGGGAAGGGGGGGTGTTGCCAGGGAAGGGGTGGGGGGAGGCAGGGGGACAGGGGGTGGTATCGTGCTGACGGAGTCCCTCCCAACATTTAGCAGCTGGTCAAGAAACTCAGTATGGCCAATGAACGCCCTCACAAGTGTGTGTGCTCTCTTTGTAATCCAATACCGTGTCACGACAGACTTGCATCATCGTCTCGGGGATCTTGCGCGGGCATGCTGAAGTCCAGGGGACAGGACTCTCTCTGAAAAGCAATGTGCTGCTGAGCAAGGCGGCCATAATCAACCCAGAAGCGCAGCCTAAACCCTTATCCAAAAAGACGAAGTTTTTCTAAGAGCTGAGGCCCTTCATAAAGCTAGGAGTTCTCATGTGATGCCTTACTGGAGGAGTGGAGGAGAGCGGTTTTCATTCTTTCCTGAGCTACCTACCCCTTATGGGCTCTGCCCGGCAAAGACAGCACCACAGTTGCAAAAAGGGACCACAGTTATGGCAGGCTGTGGGGGGCCCTGCGCCGAATCAATACTTTGCTATTCATTTTTAATAGAGAATCAAAGATTTTTAAGGGCGGGCGCCCAGGGGCGGGCAACGCCCCGATGAGGCAGAGGCATGCAAGCGTGGGCGCGCCGCGCACAAGACAAGCTGCACGAGCCGGAAAAAAGTCCCACAAGCCTCCTCGGGCACAGGCTGCACTGAAGGGCGGGCATACACTGCAGCCCTTAAAGCACTTCGTCTCAGGGAGGGGGTGGGGTGGGGGGGCAGGGTGGGGGTGGAGGGGGCGGGGGTGGGGGGGGTGGGTGGGGGGGGCATGCACAAACACTTCATTTCAAGGCAGGCGTAGTGGAGTGCGATTTCAAGGAAGGGGGTGCAGATGAGGCGGTGGGGGCCGTGCATGAGGGTGCTGGTGACGCTGCCATAAAAGGTGGGACTAGGGCGACTAACGCCTCCCGCACTCCAGCGGGGGTCGGCGGACATGCCTAATGTTTCAATACACTCCTATTTTTTAAACTGAGAATCAATACATTGCCATGGTCTTATCATTGCAGCACCCTGCCTTTCTTATTGCGGTGGGGCCCCCCCAAAAAATTAAGAACAGAATCAACAAATGCTCGGATTAGACCGAACCTGAGACATCTCAAGCTTGCAAAAAGCACGCCCCGGAAGAAAACTTGTCTGAGCATTGTCACGAATGCCGCTCCCGCAACCCGATAAATCGAAGACATCCGAAAATGCTGTGACTCACAGTGAATTCGACCTGCCGACAAAGTCTCTATCGATAAATATGATGTTTTCGGACATGCCCTCGAAGCAGCCGCAAACATTGCACAAACTCGCATTGAACTTCTGGAGGGGTCGGTAGCAGGTTTTGCATGCTTTCGGGTTTTCCGGTCTGTTTCTGATGTTGGGGGAGGGGGGGTGGGGGGTAGTGCACAAAGCCCAAAACCCCACCCTCTACCCTAAACCCAAACCCTCCTCCCAAAAAAAGCAAGCCGAAACCCTAAACCTCAACCCCAACACCTCGTCCCAAAGCAACCCAAAACCCTCAACCCAAAACCGGGAGTGGGGGGGGCGGGGGGTGGGGGTGGGATTGGCGGGGGGGTGGGGGTGGTAGCGTACAGACAAGAATCACGCAAGCCCAAACCCTCGTCCCAAAAAAAAACCATGCAAGCCGAAACCCTTAACCTTCAACCCAAAGCCTCATCAAGCAAAACCATGCAAGCCCAAAACCCTCAACCCAAAACCAAGATCCAAAACGTCATCCCCCCAATAACATCATGCAAACCCAAAACCTTCAACCCAAGACTCTAAACCTTATCTCGAAAAAAAGCAATCCTACACAGAGCAAGTAGACTGAACCGGCAAAGTCACTGTAAAAACCAGCATTTCCACACAAGTACACAACCTTGATGCTCCTCCAGAGCCCTTTCAAAAATCAACGTCTCACAAAACCTCTCAGAACCGGCAACTCCGCTGTGAATAGCAGCGAAAGAACACCTTATTCACGAATGCGGCTGCTGAAAGTCCATAGTCGAAAAATCGTCACGCACGAAAACACGGCTGCTTATATACAGTGGATTCGGGAAAAAGCATCTCGCACCTGCGCAAAAATGGGTTTTCGGACATGCACTCCGAGGCAACGACACAGAAAAACATCGAACATCACGAGGTTTTGCACTTCACAGCCCCAAAAAACATTGCATATTCGGCGGGGTCGTTAACCAAGTGGTAACCTGTTTTTTTGACACATTTTTGCACTGTCAGGTGTTTGTTGGAGGACTTCCCGACAAAGTTGATGAGCGCGAGGTGGAGCTTCAGAGTGACTGTGCGATTGGGAATTCAGTCTGGCATGAGCCAGACGCTGCCAGCTTTTGCTGTAGCCAGTAGCTGTTTCAGTATCAAGGAATTTAGTACATTGGCCTGCCTCATAGGCATGTTCTGTCGGTCACGGGAAAAGTTCTTTGTACGGGTTTGTAGAGCACCCCTAGCCTCTGCTCGGGTCCGTCAAGCTCTCACTTGCTATCTCATTGTATCTCGTACAGAGCCACATTATTTACCTGCGCCCTGGCCTCTGCCCTTGGGTCTTGAGAACGCGGCAACTCTTGCTTAATCTTGGGCGCCAATTCTGAAAGACACGGGTCAGACTTGATATTCGTCAGGGAGAGTTCGATGAAGAGATTGCATGTGATTGCCTCATAGTTCCATGTTGCAGGCAGTTGTGTCTGCTGCGCACACTGGAGCAAACTGCCTGACTTACATGGACAGACCGCATCAGACTTCAACAACATTAGACCCTTCACCACGCCGTGCAGGTGGAGCAACACTTTACCAAGTATCGCCCTTAGCTGCCTTAGCTGTACAGTACATTGTGAAGTCTCAGTCACTCGGATAGTCCAAGGTACGGACATGTTGTTCATTGCAATGTTTGCCCTCCCAAGGCAAGGAGAGTCGGCTCTCCGTAGCCTCGCATGCTAGACTCTGCTAGACGCTACTTCGATGCAGGATGGAGAGAAGAACAAAGCTCCGCGATGGCCTGATGTTCGTGACAACGTGCAAGTCGCAACCTTGCGCACAGCGGCCTGCACTGAGGTATGCCTTTGTGACGTTCAGATTTGCTGCTGATGCAGACTGCGCTGTAGTTGACAGGCAGGATTTTCCAGGCAGGGTTCATGAGATGCTGCTGGGATAGCTTTAGTTGACGTGCGTCAGCGTATGTCGATGTTCCAAGCCATGCAAGGGTTTCATTGCGCCCTGCCAGGCGTTCAGAGACAGCTGGCCATGGGGTTTGCAACGCCTAGGAAGAAGGCTGCGATGGAGGTTTTTTTCTTGATATTGCCATGCTCCTGACATATCAGGACACCGATGATGACAAGCAGAAGCAGGACTCTATGCTCAGTGAAGTCGACCCCTGCAAGGCGAGCAGCATGACGACTGCATTCGTTCAAGCGAGTCCTGTCCGTTGTCCTATTCCAGGTTTTTGTCGGTGGCATCGGCGACAGGGATAGTGAAGAAGAGGCATGCCGATGCACGGTTTGCACAGAGCTCACATGGCATTGTACATAGCAGACATGATGCAACGGCTGCACCAACCTGCACCAGGTTGGTGACTTTTTCTCCCAGTGGGGTCTTGTCACCTTGGTCTACAGAGATAGAGCATCATGGCACAAGCCTTATGACTGTTGTCAACATTGAGTCAACATTGACTCAACATGCATGTATCAGGCTTGAGAGCATGGCGGCAGAATGTTTGCATGCAATGGCCTGGTCCAGGGGCTTCGTGCACTTTGCCACAAAAGAGGCTGCTCTCCGCATTCTAGAAGAGAGTGCACAGCTCAGGTGGATCAGTGCGTGTTCGAATCCTAGCGCTTCCATCTCTATCTGCGTGACTGTCAGGCAACGTGGTTTTTCATAGACGGAGGTTGGACATCAAGGCGCGATTGTTGCGTATTTCGCGGGAGTGGATGATGCGGCGAGAAGTGTGCACTAGCCTCAGTTTGGCGTGAATACCATTCATTTGTAGTCCTGCGTGATCCCAAGCCAGACAAGAGGATGTAGGCTTAAACCCGTTAGCCAGAAATCATGTTTTAGCTCCAGGGTGGGCTTCAACGTATGTCCATGTCCCAACATGTTGGTGGGGAGGGCGAGAAGAGATGCAAGAACAGGGCAGCTGTCCTGATCCATGTCATAACACCTTGCGAGGCCAAAGAATCATGTTTCAGATCTTTTCAACCGTGCTGGCCTATCTGTTGGCTGGCATGGTGTAGTCACTTAGCTTAAGTTGCACACGACGTAATCACGAGGCCGGACTTCAGGATTTCAACATAGTCCAATATGTTGTTTGCATCATGTAATCGATGGCCAAGAGGGACCCGCAGATTTCTTAGGGGGCGGGAGTACTTTCACCTGTGAACAACCGCGAGCTGAAGTCTCACTTCACACGATGAAAAATCGCTCGCATGCCATCCTGTGTTTTGTATGCCCTACGCGCATGGGTGAACATGTGGCGGAGATGTCAGTGTGTTGTCCGTAGAATCTGTCAACCTCACCTGTCATTATTGTTGCCGGGCGAGTACTGGCGAGTACCATAATTCTGCGTATGAGTACCCACGCGCGTTGCCAAACGTACGCAAACATTCTATACGTTAAGCTCTGCATTAGCACAGCGATGCATGCCGTGTTTGGCAGCTTGAAGCTTTTGCCAGAAAGCGTCGGAGTCGAAGAAAGCGATGAGCGATGACGAGAGGCCACAAGTCTCACCTGTTTTCCTTCTCAAGTCACGAAGTATAAACAAGATAAAGGCTGCTGAACGCTGCTAGCCACTGACAGGTATGACTTGGTGAAGCGCGCTATTGCCAGGCATCGGCACAGCAACGCCACGCAATGCAGCACTGCGCTTCTTAGACGCTTGCGACCGAGGCATTTTCACAAGAAGAGCGTGCAGAATGCGCCTCCTCCAGGACGGAGAATGAAGTTGATGTGAAGGTGTCTTCCGCGCACGTCATGAAGGGAGCTGATCCAATGGAAGGTTATCCGCCTCCCGGGGGTTACTACCCGTCGCGACCTACATGTCTGCAAGCGATGTCTCAATCAGCGCCTTCTTTGAACAGAGCTGAGGCCGCCACCAGCTTATTATGGCGCACCGCCGCCAGGTTCAGACTCCAAATGCACCATCTCTTTCCACTGAGCATGAAAGACATTGAGCTGCTCTATGCCGCCATGCCCCACAAAAAACCCACACTATGCCACGAAGGCTACCCGGGCTACCCGCCCCCCAGTGCATATCCGCCACCGGGCTATCCGCCGCAGCCAGCTCACAAGCATGCGGTTGGCTTGACCGTCCCTCTCTCTGACAGCTCAGCCCGCGGCAGCTTAAGGTCAACGGCGTATCCTCCCGTCTATGGGTCGCCGTCTTGACCACAGCTTCCTTATCTTCTATGGTCCATGGTGTGAATGGCCACGTCGATACTTATGGTGAGCGAGTTCAGTTGAGGCCTCCCCCTGGTGGGCATTACGGCGCGTCGTGGGCTCACTCGTGACAACTGTTCAACGACTCTCATCAGCTTGTCGTCGACCTGCCTTCGGTCAAGGCCGCCGCCCACTAGTGCCCCACCTCCACGGGAAGGCCTGTTGATTCCGCTGGCACGTGTGTATCCTGTGAATGATATGATGCTTCTTCATGCCAGCGCTACCACCACCCGATGATCCTTATCGACCTCCAGGTTGGATTCGTATCGTGCTCACTTAGTGCCAGAATTCGGTGCTGTGAGAACCTTGGAAGGAGATCCATATGCTGCATATGGCAGGGCAGGGGCCTTAGTCCACACGAAGCTGGAGTAGTGTCTCCGGCTACCTAAACCAAGGACAGAGATCCCTACGCCGGCTAAGCACTCGGCAGATAGCAGTATGTCAGCAGAAAGTCAGCAGATTCTTGTGCTAGGCTACGATCGTGAAAGAGAACATGACAGATATAGGCGACCGGAGGACCAAGAAAAGTGGAAGCTCTAAGAGAGAAGCGTCTCGCCACCCTGAGACAGCCGTGAGAAGGATCCTCCGAGCCGCGACCCCTACGCGCACTTGTCAGGCAAGGGGGGCGCCTTTTTTCCGGAAGAGCCGTCTCTGAGAGCTCCCCCTTACTGCTCTTGATAGAGTGAAAGAGTATGAGTAGAAAAGCTGTGCAGAGCCCGTTCTCTCGGTACAGCGAGAGAAGTCCTCTTTCGGCGGTCGTGGCAATCATCTCGCGGGAGGTGCCCCTCCTCCTGCTGGCCTGCGGCTTATGCGGCTTATGCGGCGCCTCTTCCGGGCTCTCACTGATTTCATGTCCCATGCCCTGATCGAGGCGTGTACGCGTCCTATGCTGTCGATCCTAGATATGAGCCCAGGCGCCTTGAATCTTCGTTGAAGCGCGCCAGTCCGTTGCTTCAATGTTTACGTCGGTTCTCCAATGTGAAGCGGGAGGTATCAGCCATACTGAGCAGAGATGCACCCGATTGTTCTTTGCAAATCCCCAAAACAGAGTTGAGCGGCTGGGTCCAGGCTGTCGTTCTCAGCTCGCTTGCAAAGACTGTCACAGCATATCGTGGACAGTTCACACAGCTTACACACACACACAGCTTACACTTACACTTACACTTACACTTACACTTACACTTACACTTACACTTACACTTACACACACACACACACCACACACACACACACACACACGCACACCCACACACCACACACACAACACACACGCACACACAAACACACACACACACACACACACACACACACACACACACACACACACACACACACACACACACACACACACACACACACACACACACACACACACACACACACACACACACACACACACACACACACACAAACACACACACACACACACACACACACACACACACACACACACACACACACACACACACACACACACACACACACACACACACACACACACACACACACACACACACACACACACACACACACACACACACACACACACCACACACAACAAACAACACACCACACACACACACACACACACACACACACACACACACACACACACACACACACACACACACACACACACCCACACAACACACACACACACACACAACACACACACACACACAGCACACACAACACACGCACAC